ACCTTTATGTTTGTAAGCGTGATGCTATATGAAGAGTGGTCTTTGTTTAATGTAAAGTAGCTAGACCCTGACAGAGCAAAAGATGCAGAGGGTCGTGTTGTGTAACACAGCTACGTTTGCATGACTGGAAGGATTGATGGATTATACTTTATGGTCTATCCACAATAGTCCATATATTGCGCGCTATCAGCCATTTCCTCACAATCGGCGTTGTTGCAAAATCCACTGCATGTGAACGATTCTCCTGCTCCAGCCGAGCATTTCCATCATTCAAGTTTCTTGATCCGAGCCGATTTGACTGAGCTACGCTGGAACAGCAAACATGTCAATTCTTGAAAGACAGACCCTGCGAATGTCTTCGTCTTTCAAACTTTTGGACGCTCCCATTCCAAATTTTCAAATGAAGCATGAAGTTTTTATTAGAAAAATGTTGATCAGCATGCTCGGAGCACCCTTCTGACCAATTTTCAAGTTGGAGGTGGGCAACTTCGGGGCGGTGGGCCGTCCGCTCTTTTGTTCCCCACATCCACCATTTGGGCCGCCCCGCATTTTAAATCGTCATAATGAAGTCTGCGACTTTTAAATGAATGAAGTTGATCAGCATGTTGCAGCGAACCTTCCGACAAAGTTTCAGGTTCGAAATGGGGAATCCCAAGGTAATGCATACTATTTCCATAAATCATGAATCTGGCGCTGACCTCCATTTCCGCCTTACATAGTAAACCCACATTATACCCTCCCATTCAAGTTTTTCAAACGAAACATGAGGTCTTTTTTAGATCAACGTGATCAGCATGTCCAAGAGCATCTTGTGTGAAAGTTTGTGGTTTGAGATGGGAAATCTCAGTATCAAGTATTGATGTGCAGTGTACATGCATTTATACAAGAGATGTCCGATCTATATGATTTCCACCTCTTTTACTCAACTTCTTCCCTCTTCCTCCTATTCTCATCTGTTGCCCCATTGAAGCATACAACTACCACCTGCGAACGATTGCTCTGCTTCAACCCATCATGTCAATCCTACAACTATCGTGATCCGATTGTCTTTGACTGAATGGCAAGTCCATGGCGTGTACACAGCTTTCTTGTCACTCTTCTTCAACACACGAGTCTCTTGACACAACGCGCTCTCTTGTACACTCCTCTACCGCAATCGAACGTAACAGCATTCATTACAGCAGCTGCTCTTAGCAAGGGCTTACTCCATTGTCTCAAGTTACATGCAGCAACGTGTCTTGCAGCCCTTTTCACGTGGACAGCCGATAGCCATCATATAGAAGCAGCTTTATTTACGTGTAGCAACTTGTTTTCAATACATACGACTACTTATGGATATGGATCTGGATATTGCTTTTGGTACATGGGATGGAAGGAATTGGCTTACATTGACCGAGTTGGATCTCTTGGTTCATTTAGCGTGGATGATGCCATATCAGCCATCAATCAATGCATCCATCCCTGGCCTGGTTGAGCTGTAGTAGAAATGACCAAGCCAGTGAGTTATGAACAGAGGGATGGAAAAGGAAGTATACCGGCAGCGATGAGAGTGGCTCTTTTCTTTTCAAGCTTGCAATGGATGTATGCAATCAAGTACAGTAATGAGAGGTCCTGGAATGTTGCTTTGGTTACTTGGCAAGTTGTCAGCAGGAAGGATGGGATCATGTCACGTGGATACGACTGAGGATGATGATGATGGATGGGATGGCATTGACGAAAGGTGTTTTACAGCCGTGGATGAATTGAATTACTCGAATCAATGCATGAAGCAGCTATTTCGCAATCATGGATGAATACGTTTATGGCGGCAGCAACCAAGAATACAATGAAACAATAACACCCGTGGACTCTATATGTGATGCACTCGTACCTGATTCAATTGGTGATACTGTTCTGATCCCTTACCATATTCACTTGACGAGCATCCACATTACCATGTCCTCTATCATTCGACTTTTCGATACACACTTTTTCAACCAGCCAGTGATCCTTGGAGAGATGGAAACACAATAAGCCGTTGCGATATAAAGAGTCTTGACAACGAATTCCTTGGAATGGGTATCAACCCTCATCATCGTCAAGTACATGGACATGGACAACTACCACGGCTGGGCTCTTTGTTATCGGCCACCGTTGATGAATGTACCCGGCCCAATTTATCAATTGATGCATCATCCCCAACAAATGTTTATCATTCTTCCCTCTTTTCACACGCCCACCAACATGCGCAATAAAAGAATGTTGTCGTGCTCCATCACACTCTCACGTATCTCTTTCCTCTATCAATCACTTTGATTGCTTACACCATCAAGCCAAGTTCATGTGGGTACCTCGATGTATGATCCTTCTTGTAACGTTATGGATTAAAGCTGATCTTTGTGGACATTCTTAGTCTTTCATTGTTGCGTACTTTGATTGTCATTGTTGTCATTGTTGTCATTGTTGTCATTGTTGTCATTGTGATATTGTATTCTTGTAATGAGGTAAAGCCTATTGATCTTGCATGATGAACCACGCACTCATATCCTTTTTAATAAAGCTACGTTCCGCAATGCATCTGCAAGGTTGGATTCGGTGACATGGTCTACTACAACCGCATAGGATTGATATAACGGCTTCCGTTATCGAAGTAAGGACATCCATGGATCGCTTTGGTGTTGACAACTTACAAAATTATGCCAGCTGGCAGAACAAGAAGCATGATCTCTAAGAGCCATCCGGCGGATGGAAGCTATTGGTCGAGCTGTGGGACGGCCAAAGAGCGCCGAACGACAAAAAGCAATATCAGTATTTGTGCACATCCCATCCAAAGATCGTGCCGCTTGGTTCAAATGGGCCAATGGTGTTCCTGAAAGCTGTCTTTATTATTTGAATGCACTGGCCTGCAAGAGTCACATTGGCGCAGCCACTGGTGATGATCATCCATTCAAGAAGCTTATCAAAGACTTTGGGCCCGAAAGATGTGAAGATGACCATTGGATGGAAGACGAGGATCAAGTGCGTGCAGCATCGCTTTTCATTTATGTTCATCATCATATTGTCAAGGTATTGTTCGTGGCCGACCTATCAAGTGCCATGGACTCAATATCGTTTCTGGATTAGTTTTACCAATACACAAATGTACATTCTGGTTACCGAATGGAGGCAAGTGACCTGGTGGGAGTCTTTATTTTCTCTTGTCCCTATGGGGGGAGTATAAGCAACTCGCTTAAGCGCCATCCATTTTCAGGGCTAGTTCATTCGGCAGATGAGTTGTTACGCGGTCATTTTGTTACGAAGCAAGGAATCAGCAGTGATGAGTCACCAGCTTTGGTACGATCCTTGGTTGTTTATTCATCCTCAGACAACCCAAGTCCTCAGAGTAGCAATGTAGTCCAAAACCACCATGGCACGATCGGCGTTGATACCTGGGGCGAACCCATCCAAATTCACTTGCCATGTAATCCCCAAGATGCAGCTTACCTTCTACAACAATGGCTACTTGACGAATATCCTGAACAGGGAGAACAGGTAACAACACTAAACCCTGTAAAGAGGTATGTATATATGATCATCGCCTTGGGAAATGGCTCTTGCTTAAAGATCAATCATAATAGATATACATTGCGACAGCCCTTGTCCGATACGGCAAGTTTTGAGAACTACATTGTGACACATTACGCATCTCATCCTTTTTCTGGATATTGGCTGGAATTGATAAACACCCTTGGCACTACGAAGGATTCAAGTGAGATTTTACGAATGAATATTCAAGCTCTATGTCGAGAAGTAACGGTGGAAAGAAAGCAAACCACGTTGAAAGATGACAAGAAAGGCATTGAATATAGGGATCATCCAATTTGATCGCCCCCCCCCAAGAATAGATGTTTGAAGCCTTTGCTCATTGGATCCACCACATCATACGTGCTCCTCTTTTGTTAGCAGTAGTAATATGCTTTGCCATTAAATAGATCATCTTGTATTTTCAAGCTCTACCATAAAAACGAGATTTGGCACATTGCCTTTTTGTAACCCTGTGGTCGTGTATCGATCCTTTTAATCATTTACAGTACTTTGTTGTTGCCAAGTCTGGTCATCATTTTTATCATCTTTAGCTTCTGTAATAAGATAAAGCCTAATAGGCGAATCAATCAATCGTATAGTCATGCACATATGGCATTAAGCTACTACCTCTCATGATGCACATGCAAAGTTGGATTGTATTGTGGTACGTTCTGCCATCGATAACTATGTTCGGCATGGCGTATTTGACATGATGCAAGTGGTACAAAGTGCTTTCCTTGCATTATTCTCCTTTCTTTTTGAAGGAATGTGTTAAAAGTTTGCTGAAGTTTTTCGATTGTTGGATGGCATCATCACAATAGAGCAATCCTACCACGAAATGGGCTATATATATGACCACCAACACTGAGTGAAATAACGACCGCTGGGGTCATCCCACCCGTCGGTCCTCATCGAGATCCAAAATTACCCATTTGCATTCATCATCTGCGAGGATCATGTTACCTCCAGCCCACTAGATTACCATATTTGATCGCATTCCCATGCAGCTATGGATGTCATCGCCCGTAGAACATGCTGTGGATAATATCCAATGATATACCAACAATCGAAGACCTTGTTTACGAGAGCTTCAGTTATTGAAATCAAAGGCAAAGAAAACGAAAGCATTCCAAAAATAAGATGGTGTTCTCCTCTCTACCATTTTTAACAGACAATGTAACGCCACCGATAATGAGCTTATTGTGATGCATCAAGAAGCACTATATTCAAGCTAGCACTTTTGCTAGTGGTCATATTTATACAAGCGGAGCCATTGTTTCAGCATCAATATGCGCATATGTACATATACGAGTTTCAGGATCAGTGCAACGTGGATCAAGGAACTACAAGTTCCAGGGCCACACACAACTTGAAGAAAGTGTGTACGACTTGGCACATGTGACACAAGACTATGGGACATCTACACTTTGATGCATGAGCTTTTCCTTATATCCAAGCATAGATGTTGTGTACGTTGATAAACACATTGTACACCAGCAAACAATCCATGTGCACAGACACAGACCCATCACTCATTCACACAGCGTATTCGACTCTTCATTTATTGATATCTTGCAATGTAAAGATGTAACATGTGAAGAAGTAAATATGTCTCCTGTTTCCAGCAGCACCCACCCACCCCACTAGTGCCAAAAATAATTTAACGACGACGAGCAAAATGCTTAATATCCGCTCCCCTTTCGCAAAAGCTATACATCATGTCACGCATTGCGAGACCCGTCCACCTTTCTGGAGGTGACAGCACCATTCAAGATCCAACCATTCTACGCACAACGAGATTGAGCAACACTCCATTGTATAAAAAGCAATCCAGGTTTTCAGGCTCGTCGTCCTCCTCGTCGACTCATTCCTTGGACGATACAACAGGTCCACTTGCAGCTGACGCGCCCAAATTACAACGACGATCCTTGAAGAATTCTACGACTAATGGAGGAGGAGGAGGAGGGTCGAGGTTGATAAAGAAACCAGCAGCAGCAGCAGCAGGAGTAGCATCAACAACAACAACCACTGTACGATCATCCGTATCTTCAACAGAAGAGTTATCAGAACCTGAATCACTTTCATTTACCGCGAACACCACACCACGCACTTCATGGAATCGATCATCACCCGTGAAAGAGCAGCAACAACAGCAACAGCAACAACAAGATGGTACACTTGCTGTGGGAAGTAGAGTATCTGTACCAAGTTTGGGTGTTCAAGGCACATTGCGATTTCTTGGACCGACTAGTTTCAAGGCTGGCACATGGGCAGGCATTGAATTGGATGTAGTAGGAGGTGGCAAAAATGATGGTTGTGTGCAAGGGTGAGTAATATATATACATATAAAAGATGTCTCCTTTTTATTAACTTTTGTCTCTCCAAGGATACGATATTTCTCATGCCCTCCTCAAACGGGCTTATTCATTCTCGACTCCAAGGTGTCAGCTGTTATTGATCCATCACCATCGCAACAGAATGATCCATCACCTGCTGACAAGGCAACCACCACCGCCCCATCCAAAATCTTGCGTACGAGCAAGCAACCTATAATGCCTGAACGCACTCGTTCTTCAATGTATACCCGACGATCAAAATCATCAGCATCTCCTTCACCACTCAAGCTCTCTGCAAGCAAGACTTTATCCACTCGATCCTCAGCAACAGAGAAACGTCCTTCTCGTTTCTCTTTGGGTGCATCATCCAAAAACACTGAGCCGGTGCCACCTTTACCCAAGAGCAACTCGATTCAGTTCACATCACCATCATCAGATATCACCGACAACAAATCCTCTACACCCGATATCCCTGATATTTTGCCAGCAGCAGCAGTTCCAGAATCAATATCCACCACCACAGCCCCTACTACTACTACTACGACTGAGAACAAAGAGCAAGACAAGAATATCGTATCAAGAGAAGAGCTATATCAGATTTATGATCTTTTGGAAAAGACACGAGAAGAGAAGGAAAAGCTGATGGCTGAGATGAACAATAAGGAATCGGCATGGGAGCGATTAGTATCCACCAAAGAAAGCTATGCTCTTCAGGTCCAAGAAAAGGAGGAAGCGATGACACGCTTAAGGCATCAATTGGATGAGACACGTGAACAATGCACACAACTAGAACAGCAGCTTCGGGACAAGGATGCCATGATTGCACAGAATGTAAAGGATGATGCAGTGCATGAACAATACCAAAAGAGGATTGAAAAGCTCGAAGGATTGGTGGAGGAATTAAGCAACAAATCATCCGACACAGCTGAAGCCCACAAAGCGGAATTGGAGCAATATGCAACAAAGATGGATCAAATGCAACATGCTCTTTCAGATCAAGAAACAATGACAGCCACGCTTGAAAAGGAATGTGAAGAACTTCGAAGAGCAGGTCTTGAAGCAATCCATGCCTATGAGACTTCAGTACAAGAGCTCAAGAAACAAAAGGATGATCTCTCAGAGGAAAAGGAGGCCGAGATTGGTAACCTGAACCGTGTCATTGAAGATTTGCGACAACGAAGCATTGCCATGGGCGTATTAGATGTGGATGAGGAACTTGGTTATCGGGATACCTATGCGGATGAGTGGCATGATCAACGACAACGCTTGGAAGAACAACTCGAGTTGGCCATGACCGAATTGGAGCAGGAACGACTCACTGTACAATCCCTCACGGTGGAAGTGGACAGGTTACAAAAAGAGCTTCAGCGACTGCATATGGATAGTAGCGCCTCCGATGATCGATACCAGAGCTTACAACAGGAGCTTGAACAAGAAGTCAAAGACAAACGACGCTTGATGGAAGAGGCGGATGCTGCATTTGAAGCACAAGCACGTGCTGAAGATGAAAATTATCAAATGAAGATGGCGCGTGTCAAGATGGAACGTGAATTGGCTGAAGCACATGAGACTATCAAGCAGCTCAAGGAAGGCAAAGGTGGTGGTGTTGATGATGCTGCTGATGAGGAGGAGAGGAGGAGTCATCATGGTGGTGCAAGCAGCGACAACAACAGTGAGCTGCATCAGCGATTACAAGAGACCGAGAATGCAAAAATGGCTCTGGAGAAAGAATGTCAACAACTTCGACATGCCAACAAGGATATGGAGCAAGAATGTATACGACTTATGGATGAAATGCTTGCCCTTGAGAAACCGGATGATAAAGAGATGGATCATGGTGATGGTGGTGAGAATACCCCTGCTCTCAAGGCTAGGATTGCTCAATTGGAACGTGAGCTGCTTGATGAACGACGGCGACTTGATGACTTGGAGTTGGCAAAGCACACTGAAATCAATCATTTGAACAAGGAACTTGCCGAGCTTGAAACCTTAGTGGAAAGTCGTGTCTTTGGTGAAGCTGATATGGAACAAGCATTGGATGCCGAGCGGAGGCGGACACGAGAATTGGAAAAGGAGCTTCGATCACTCAAGGATTCGCCAACGCACAGCCATGGTAAAACCGATTTATATTGCGAGCTTTGTGAGGAACATGGTCATGATGTGATCAGCTGTACTGCCTTGGCTGCAAGTGATTCAAACAAAAAGCGCATTGTGGTAAGTAGCCTTTGTCTCTATTTCAAATCAAATCGAATGTCCAACCAATCTCTTTTCATTAGTATTGTGAAAACTGTGAACAGCATAACACGCATTCAACAGAGGATTGTCCAAACCAAGATGAAGTATTTTAGATGACCCCTTTGCATTATAATTGGTTTTGTTTTTGCTTTGTTTATATAAACCGTTGCACTCTTCATAATCGAGACCACATCTTGTGATACCCATCTTACATTAAGTTTTTATGTCATAACCTATGTAGAACATCCTCCAATCACTTTATGTATGGCATCCATCTGCTACCAGAGCATCTTCCCTCCCCCCATGACAAGCAATAAAGAAACAACATCATGCGGCAAAGAGAAAAAGGTATTGTAACCATTGTTGTGTTATACATGACCCATGACGATAGAAAATCTTAAATTGGAGTTTGTAGTGGCGGGTATACTTGTAGTGGCGATGGGGGTGTCATCATTAGAAGGGTGAATATCGGTGAGGTGTGTTGTATTGTCAGTGGTCAGTAGAGCTCCTGAATCGGCGGCAGTGGCAGCGGCAGCAGCGGCAGCAGCAGCATTCATCCCAGAAGAAAGAGCTTCGTCGGCACACAGCGTGGTACTTCTCCATCCCTATTATTACGTCGTCATCAGCATACATCATCACATGTGTAAAAAGAGAAAACATACCCAACTCTGTAACACTGAAAAGTTATCAGGGCTACTTTGGAAGAGTGTCAATGTATGCTTTGGACCTCTTGCTGGGCAATAGATCTTGAACCATGTCCGGACCACTTTACGCTTATCGGCATAGCAAGAAAAGGGTGATAGTCCTGGTGTGCATATCCTGCTTTCTTCACTACTACCATGATTACAAGGGCCACAAGGGATCGATTGACGATGCAAATAAACACCAAGTTGGGGCACCCCTTTACGTTGAGAACGTGCCTTTTGTATATACATGTTCCAATTGGATCTAAACATCACGTGGTCAGCTGACGACATTATAGCGGAGAACAAGAAGAACAAGAGCTCACCCTGCATAGAAAATGGTCTTTGAATACACGCGAACATTGTATTTGAGGGTGGCAAAATCGGCAAATTCAACGCTGAATCGGAAGGGTGGATAAAGCGAGTAACTCTTTTCTTCATTTTTCTTGCATTCGGTATCATGATTTGAAACGGGTGTCTTTTTGCGTTTGGATTCCTGATGTTGTTGTTGTTGCTGATGGGTTGTGATAGAAGAAGGCGAGGATCCACCCGTATAAATCGTGGTATCATCGGTAGGAATCGTCAAAAAAGTCTTTTTTTGTGTTTTGCTGGCATCTTTTTCAGAGACTGTTAAGCCGAGGGTGGTATCAAGCTCGCTGGATCCTTCAATTTTGGAACGCATCTTGATTTGCTGCCATAATGCATCTTTGAGAATAGAATCAGGCACCAGCGGATCTGCAGTGAAAGGATTCACATCCGATCGGATTTGTTCCAGCTCCTCAAATGTCATGTGTACATAATGCAGCAATCGAGTAAAGATCACAACAAATACATCCAGGTCGTTGTTCAACAATTCCTCTTGTCCATCCTCCTCCTCATCGACATCTACCACAATAACATCGTCATCATCCGATGCTGGTGTATTTGCTGTTGTGGATGGGGTTGATGATGATGATGATGATGATGAAACAGGTGAAGAAGCAAAGCTAGATCGTTTTTGATGCTCGTCATTTGATGATACATCCTCAAGGTCATCCGCCGATGTTGCGACATTGTAATGTTGATTTTGTTGTTGTAGGATCTGATAACGTTTCATCAAGACACGATAGGCAAATCTGTAGCGATCGTATTCACTAAATAATACAGCAAGAATGAGTGACATGAATGGGAGGAGGGAGTAAACGATAAGATACATTACGTTGGGACCCAAAACGCATCCGATTCGATCACTTTTTTAAGCCAAGTGATAGGAATATCAGCGACACGATCCATATCCATAGAATAAGCTTCCCGACAAAGAAAAGTAAAGACGGCATTGAGGATACGATCACTTCCATGGACCATATGGTTGTCTGCAAAGTCGAGATACAGGATGACATTGGCCTCATTCATGGTGCGTAGGATGAAATCAACGCATAATTCACACATGTGTTCCAGTTGAAAGAATGAGCAAGTGGCGAGGATTTGACGGACGTTATCATGATGGATGTTTGGATCGGATAGCTTTCCATAGAGTTGCTGCAAGACAAAGTAAAAGGATTCTTTTGTAATGTATGGACTGTTTTCGAAATGAAGGGTGACACTGTCGGATGTAGCTTCCCGAAACCCGCCCTGAAGCAGCATACTGAAATATGGGTTCTGATCCAGTATCAATCGGTGGAGATGATAGATCTTGCCCCAGGCCGGCACGTGGACTGCAATGTCGCTTCCGATACCATCCACAAGACCCCGTGTCATGATATGTCGACAAAGCATCAATGACTGCATCCTCCAATCGTACTTTGTACTAGGTGAGGGTGATGTAGCAGAACTCGACGTAGGTGGATTCTCCATCATCATCATCATCTGACCATTGTTTCTATTGCTGCTAGGGTGATGGCTGTTACTAGTCGACCAAGGCACATCCGTCACCTTGTTGCTGCTACTACTACGTCCACTGTAAAAGGCTGTGTTGCCGTTGCCATGGGGATCGCCTGATTCCCGCCAATGGTTGCCCAGCAAAATGGGATCCGTGGGGCGTTGAACAACTCCAGGATAGAGCGTTGTGTCATTACCAAGTACCTCGGGTGACATGTTGAACAATGGGGCAGAATAAAAGGAAAAAGAAAGAAAGAGAGAGAGAAAAAGAGTACAAGAAAAAGGGACCAGGGGATTTCTTGTTTGAGATAAAACAAGGAACTCACATGGTACATCAGAAAACAGCAATATTGATTTTGTTGTAGAAGCAAGTAGCGTGCTAAATAATCCAGCTGCTGCTGTTGTTGTTGTTGCTACAATGACATTTTGTTTATTCACGAGATGGGGACGTTAGTATGAATATGTATGCATTGTTCGTATGATGAGGATGAGGAGCAGCAACAACAATACAACACACTCCTTTGTATCATAATGGGCGGTGATATTGTTTGCATATATGGTCGTCGCTTTTGGCTTATCCCGCCGACCTTGTCAAATCCGACACAATGTTGCTGGGTTGATCCTTTCCCTTTCTTTTCGTATTTATTGCAACACCATGGGAGAAATCGTGGCAGAATACAAGGGCGCGTTAAGTACGTAATAGAGATACCTGAAAACCTCCCATCGACTAAACCAATACCGATCTCCTCTTGTAGTTACAACCGATGCTGATGTAAAACGATACAATGTAAATACACCTTCCACCCTTTCTTTTGTGCCTTCGACGCGTAACTGATCGATCAAACAGATACCCATTCAGCCTCCCATCAACCTCGACACCGCCTCACCACTCGATCCTGACAATGACCACGACGAATTGACGATGGACGTCGTGCATGCGCTTTCCAACATTTCGCAATATGCAACCCAGCCTTTTATTGGACTGTAAGTTTTTTTCATTGTTTGCCAGTACCTCTCTAATGTCTTGTGTTGTGTATAGCAAGGATATGGTACAAGATCGGTTTGGAAACAGGTAGGTCATGTCTTTTAGGGTGGTAGGTGTAAAGTTGATCTAACATGGTAGTGCAGTCCCTGGCTAGAGACCATCTATTGGGGTATCGACAAAGTATCCGCAGCCGTCAACAAAATCATCGCCTCGACCACCGAAGAACTTAGTGGCAAACCTCCTACAGCCAAGCTGCTCGCATGGCATCCACACCGCCATATGATCGCCATTGCATATCAAGATAATACCGTTCATGTGTACGAGCGCACCGACGATAATGATTGGACATGTAAATTGCTGCGACATCGCTTTATGAAGAATATCACTTGTCTCGAATGGAAAAAGAGAGCACGAGGAACATTGGCTGTGGGTTGTCGGTAAGTGAGGGAGAGAAAGAGGTCCAAGTTGGGAGTATGGGTGATTGATGTATTGTATCTTTATAGGAACGGCGTTTGTGTTTGGAGTTTGGGAAGCGACTCAGTCACCAATGCTGATCTTACAAGCAAATTGGAACCTTGCAATCGTCATGGACCCTCAATGAATTATCTCTGTCATACCGGCTATGGCCCTATCAGCGCTCTTGCCTGGGACCCTACTCCAGCAAGTCATCTTTTGGCAGTGACATCCGCTACAAAGGGAACCTTGGTGATCTACGACACAATGACATTATCAACAACCCCTCTAAAACGACAAGGAAAAGGAAACACGATTCTACGATGGAGCCCTGATGGTGCTTGGTTATTCGTTGCTTCCGACAAGTAGGTCATCTTGTGTCTTTTATGGATGGATCCAAAAGTTAATCGATATCTCTTTTCAGGCAAGTCAAATCGAGAATGTGGGATACGCGACACTGGGTGTATAGGGATATGACCAATCCTCCAGGTCTTGGCGTTCAGGTAAAAAATTCAATACCCCACACTTTTGCATGTCTCCTTTTCTCACTCACTTTTTTTCATCATTGATAGTCTGCTTGCTGGGCACCCGATAGCAGGAATTTATTCATTTCGATGCATGGCAAAAGCGATATCCATTTGATTTATTGGACAGACTCAACATCAGCTGCAGGTATGTATACATACATGGGAAAATAGAGGTGGGTACGGTTGAGCTAACAACGATGGTATTAGAATTGAAACAAGAAAAGGTGTACTCGGTGAGAGCACCTGTCGAAGGACCCACAGGACACATGAATCATAATCATATCCGAGAAATTGCTCTATCCCCCTCTGATGGAAAGCGGTTGGCCGTGGTCTTTGAGAAATCCGATTGTGTGGCATTATATTCTGTACAGCTCGAAAGCATGCCAACACTTGCCAGGAAGGATATCTTGCAACACATGTAAGTGGGAACGTGTCAAATATTGGAAAACATACATTCAGCTTGCTCATCCTTTCCCTTCCAATAGTGGCATTGTTAATACACGTGCTTCAATGAATGATTCTGGAAAGCCAATACACATTGCATACTCGGCGAATAGCAGCACAAGCAGCACATTGGCAGTGCTACATAAAACGGGTGTCGTCGACTTTATTACTCAAGTAGCATAGCAACAAGGATGTTTCATTTGCGATCAATACACAACAAAGTTAATTTGATTCAATGATGGGGTATTGGATAGTATAGACTTTAAAGTATAATTCGACCACATGATCGTTTCGGGGAGAGCTATCAAAGATGGATCGTATTTGGTATCACAGAGGCGTATCTTTCTTTTCTTTGTTGTCAACTTGCTACTGTGATGGCTCTTTAAATGAGCGTCTTCTTGTGGGCTGATATGTAGCCAGCGACAAAAACATGATTCTTGATGTTCCTGCAGCAATCCATCAACAAGAGATGTACGATCGTGTTGATTTCCTCTTTTGGAGTGGTAAAAGATATGGTTAAACACTCGGCGGATGGATTTACGAAAAAGCCCACAAATACAAATGTTATGGTAAACACAATGGGGTATGAAACAGGCATGGCGTTTATCATTTCCAGCCCCGTTCTTCTTTTTTTCTTTCATATTGTTCTTGCAATGAGCTCAAGGGCCAGTGATACAGCTGTTGACGAGAAATCCATTATCGAGGAGGAGATCACGGTGGCCGATGAAACATCAAAACAAGTCGAGTGGAAAGAGCCGCCAGATGGCGGATGGAAAGCCTGGTTGGTTGTCTTTGGATCATTTTGTGTGGGTTACATATATGCATCTTGAGATGATGGACGCACGCAGTGATACTCATTCAATCTTTTAGGCCATTGCTGGATCGTAGGTGTACCATAATAATAGCCATTATTGTTGATCTACTTCATCTAATCGTTTTGTAACTACATGATAGTTCTGGGCTCCTAGAGCCGTATGTACTCGTGATGATGATGATGATGATATAGTGAGGTTCTCATCGAATGACTTTTAAAATTTTTCATGTAGATGGGGTGTCTTTCTCAACTACTACAACACCAATGTGTATCCTAATAGCATGACCCAGTTAAGCTGGATAGGTTCATTGGCCATTTGCATTCGCCAGGTTGTGGGTCCATTATACGCGTGGTTAAGGTCGAAAATGGACGATCGATACACTATAGCTCTAGGAGGTCTGGTCACTTGTTTATCATTGATGCTTGCCAGTATCACGCATGAGGTGTGTGAGTGTGAGGGATTAACAGATTGCTGGTTGAATACTCATCATAGGAAGACGTTCTTTATAGATTTGGCAGCTGTGGATCACCCAAGGAATTATGCTGGGTCTTGGCACAGCTCTCGTTTACTATCCTTGCATTAATCAAACAATGACCTGGTTTTCAAAACGTCTTGGTTTGGCAGTTGGGATAACCTTGTCAGGGATGGGACTTCCTCCTATGGCATACACCAATATTGCAACAGCATGCTTTCAGACCGTGGGGTATCGTTGGGCACTTCGTGTGCTTGGGTTCATTGCACTTGTGTTGTGTGCGATTGGCGCAATTTTATGTATCAAGCTTAATCCTCGACCCAAATCATCTGCTGTCGTCCCTTTGCTAGATCTTTCGGTGTTCAAGAACAAAAAGTTTATCATTTTGATCATCGCTCACTTTTTCATTGCGTTTGTTATCTTTGCAAGTATTCAAGATGTTTCCACGATGGCTACTTACTAACATAAAGAATGATTTGTTTAGGTGCCAACAACCTTCATCGCACCGTATGCCGAAAGCTTTGGCGTAGATCCATATACAATTGCAAACATCACAGGGATTATGGGAGTCTTTAGCTTTATCGGCTCCATCATCTTTGGGCAAATAGCAGATTACATTGGTCGTTTCAATATGGCGGTCTTCCTAGGGCTATTATGTGTCATCATGCAGCTTGGTGTATGGTTCACTGCAGCGACCGTGGCAAGTCTCTGGGCATTCTCTGTGGTGTATGGAATGGCCAATGCAACGCTCTTCAATTTGCTGGTGGCTCTGGTCTTGGATTGTACAGGGATCGAACGCGCTGAAGTTGGCACTGGTTGGGCATTGTTTACATGGAGTGCTGGTGCGCTCTTAGGACAACCTTTGGCAAGCATGATAGCCAACCAAACCCAAGTTCCCAATTACCAGATGGCAATCGTATTTACCTCGGTCGTTTTCTTTTTCGTTACATGTTTGCTACTGGTGCTTAGAATCATGGTTGGCGGTTGGAGAATCGTTAAAAAAGTGTGATCAACATCCATCACTTGTAATGAATAATAAAATCGGATGTAGCAATGTAGCTCAATGTCGTCTCTTTTTGTCGGCTATTGGGATGTGAGAATGATGCATAGTATTCAACATGACAATCTTAAAGTGATCGGAAGGGCATAGTTCCACTTGTCGAAATCAGGTGATTGAACTATATGGAGTTTTGTGACCCCTGGCAGGTGGCACAGACCATGTCGGCTCACCTAAATGAAATTCTTTGGTATTGTAAAAACGCGCCGTTAGAGCGTGTTTCGTTCCTTAATTTTCATTAACCTGCTATTGTGATGATTGTTCCGCAGATAGACCCGAGAGACCATTAAAAGTAAGCATCTTTTCGGTATCAAGAAGAAAAGAAAGGCTCATCTTGGTACCTGTTTGATTCACCTGCCGCTTTTTATGATCTTGGGTATTTCCTCTTTTAGAGGTAGATCCTTTAACACTCGGCAGATGGATGCGTGAAAAGCGCACAATAGCGTAGTACAATGGGTATGAAACATCTGGGTCATGCGGCGATGGCGTTTAACTCTAGTCCCGTTCTTGTTGCTTTGGATTGATTTGTCTTTTTTTCCTTTCAAATTTGTTACAATGAGCTCAAAGGCTAGTGAAACAGCTGTTGATGAAAAGTCAATTGAGGTGACAACCGTCTCCAACAATGAAACAGCAAAAGAAGATGTCGAGTGGAAAGATCCACCCGATGGTGGTTGGAAAGCATGGTTGGTTGTCGTTGGATCATTTTGTGTGGGTATATGCATCTTTATTTTGAGATGATTCAACGCTAATTGTATGATCCTTAGGCCCTTGCTGGAACGTATGTGTATACTTGCACGCAACATCACTGAGCAACATCCTTCTAACCATCATCATCCACATTCCACAACATCATCATAGCTCGGGTATCAGCTTAGGGTATGTACAAGGTAGTAGGAGTGTTACGTGCATGAATAGCTAATTTCGTTTACTAGATGGAGCGTGTTTTTCAACTACTACAACACCTATGTGTATCCTAATAGCATGAACGAGTTAAGCTGGATAGGCTCTTTATCATCATGCCTTTGCCATATAACGGGGCCATTCTATGCATGGTCAAGCTCGAAAATGGATGACCGATATGCTATTGCTTTAGGAGGTCTGATCACTGCCTTATCAATGATGCTTGCTAGTATCACTAATGAGGTATGTGCTATGAAGATTAACATGTTATGTACTCATCATGGCAAGAAGATTTGGCAGCTGTGGATAACTCAGGGGATCTTGGCAGGCATCGGATCGTCTCTCGTTTACTATCCTTGCTTGAATCAAACAATGACCTGGTTTTCATCAAAAAGAGCTGTAGCAATTGGCCTATCCATGTCAGGCATTGGATTTTCATCTATTGCATTCACCAATATTGCAACGGCATGCTTTCAGACCGTGGGATATCGTTGGGCGCTTCGTGTATTTGGGTTCATTGCACTTGTATTGTGTGCGATTGGCGCGATTTTATGCGTTAAACTCAATCCTAGACCCAAATCAGCCGTGATTCCTTTACTGGATCTTTCAGTGTTCAAGTACAAAAAGTTTGTTATTTTGATCATCGCTCACTTTATTGGCGCCTTTGTTTTCTATGCAAGTATCAAAGTGGATAGGACGTGTGATGATGATGATGGCTAATACTATAATAGATCCCTGAAAGCTTCATCGCTCCTTATGCACAAAGTTTTGGCGTGGATCCATTCACAATCGCAAATATCACAGGGATCATGGCTGTCTTCAATTCGGTTGGCTCCATCACCCTTGGGCTTTTGGCAGATTACATCGGCCGCTTCAACATGGCAATATTCGTTGGGTTGCTATGCGTCGTCATGCAACTTGGTGTATGGTTTACTGCGGCGACCGTAGCAAGTCTTTGGGCATTCTCCGTGGTGTATGGAATGGCATTAGCAACGTTCAATAGCCTATTGATCACTGTGATCGTGGATTGTGCAGGGATCGAACGCTCTGAAGTTGGCACTGGTTGGGCTATCTTTACGTGGAGCTTTGGTGCTCTCTTAGGACAACCTTTGGCAAGCAGGATAGTCAACCAAACTCAAGTCCCCAACTATCGCATGGCTATTGTGTTTTCCTCTGTCATTTTCTTTTTCGTTACATGCTTGATGCTGGTGCTTAGAATCATGATTGGCGGCTGGAAGGTCTTTAAAAAAGTGTGATCCTCACGATCAATGTGTATAATCTTGCTACTACTTTGTACAATAATGGAAGTTTACATACCACCAAATATTTGTGTACAAGAAAGGAAGATGGCGTTTTTAGGAAACTGTATTGTTTGTTGGGAGTGGATACACAAGCAAAAAAGAAGACCAATACGAATCACGTGGGCATTAAGGGAAGCCACAGAACAACATGAAACATGAAAGGTGGAAGCAAAGCAACATTGATTTCGAGAGAACGTTTTATTGACGATAGCAAACTTCTATCATAATGACATGAGAACAAATGAGTTGCACTTGGTGGATGATAATTGGGAAGCATAGCTTGTGGATTTTGATGTTCTATGCGTAAATAAACGAGATGTTGGCTATCACCTCGTTCAATCTAGAGGTATCAAGCAGCGTTGGTGGGGTGGATTGGGTGACATGTCACGTGAGTCGGAAGCTAAAATAGACGAGACACAGGCCTTGTTTCAACGCGTTTGCACTCCATACCTCTTCCTAAAATGAGCAGTACGGCTGGAACACATCTTGGAAACACGCCCTTGCATCTCGAGAAATTACGCCAAGTTGCTCGTAAGGAGCTACCCCAGATCCTCGATTCGGTAGCGTGGTGGCCATGGTGCACGATGCTTTGCTTGACACTTATGCATGTTCCCCTTCCCTTCTCTCTCATTCATTCAGGTCCGAGGGAAAAAGAGTCTAGTACTTGACCCACAGCTCACTGGTCCTATCAGCTTGATTGCCGATTTTACCCTATTCAAAGTAGGTGTTTTCTTGAATGATGTCGATGTCATGTTGACTATTGGATGCATGTACATAGGACCATGGAGTTGAAAAGATATACCAGCTTTCATCTGAGACCATTGATACCGAATGCAGCAGCGTCATTTACATTTGTCGATCCAAATTACGATACATGCGATACATTGCCAGTAAGCAGAGATTGGGATGGGATAGCATTTGGCCTCTCTTTTTTTCCTGATGCTAACAATGATGATGGTAGATCATGTAAAGCGACTTACAGAACAAGAAGGCACCAAGACAGACTTTTTATTATGCTTTGTACCACAACGAACGAGAATATGCGAGCGTGTCTTGGAAGAAGAAGGTGTATTTGGAAGCATGACGATTGCAGATTATGCTATGGATTGGATACCTCTTGAGGATGATGTTATATCAATGGAGTTGGATCCTGGCACATGGAAGGAAATCTATTTGGTATGTATAGGATCCCCATATCAAACTTGGCAAATGGACGACTAACCCTGCTGTTGTAAAACAGGATGGAGATACCACAGCCATATACAATGCTGCCAAATCGCTCATGAAGTTGCAATCCATCTATGGTCTCTTTCCACGTATTATCGGCAAAGGTGATGCAGCAAAACAACTGGCAGAGATGTTATTACGTATGCGACGTGAACATGCGGTCGTCGACGAAGTATCGAGTTATACGGCATCCCGAACACCCTCCTTGCTCAACAACATTTCCAATCACATTGATCAACTTATCATCATTGACCGCAACGTGGATATTGTCACCCCTCTCTGTACACAGCTAACATACGAAGGATTAATCGATGAGACAATGGCCATCAACAATTGTAAGTCATCACACACGCAAAAGAGTGGTCTATGTACACTAACACCACAAGGATGGTATAGCTCATGTCGAATTGGATGCAGCCCTTGTCAGCCTCAACAAAGCTGCAGCTGGCCAAGTCAACAGAGTCGGTGGATCAAGTAGTAGTAGTGCTGCACCAGCGCCAAATCCAGGGAGTCAAGCAGGCAAAAAGAAGAAATACGTCTTGAATGCATCGGATAAGCTTTTCAGTCAATTGAGGGATCAGAATTTCGCAGTGGTCGGTGGTATGCTGAACAAGATTGCCAAACGAATCAATGAAAATTACGAGGTAAAGGATATGAAAAGAGGGAGAAGGGTATCGATGAATGTGTATTGATGGGATGGTTTTTTCAATCCATTAGGAAAGACATCATGCAAAGACGGTGGCTCAAATACGTGATTTTGTCGGACGACTCAGTGAGCTACAACAAGAGCACCAATCTCTCCAAATCCGTATCCTTTTTTCTTTTTATATACGAGTGGATTTTATTTTTATATGGATGATGTCCTTAACTCGCTAATAGATACTGGTATTGCCGAGCAGATTATGGATTATACCATCACTGAGGAATTCAACAAGATCCTTGAAGTACAACAAAGTAAGGTCCTCGAGAAGGGGTGAACGAATGCATGCATACTTACACTTATCTTTGTAGATGTTGTGGCTGGCATCGATGGTACAAATGAACCTGATTATATTGAAGAGATGATCGATCGACAAAAGCCGTTGATTCAGGTGCTTCGTTTACTCTGCTTGATGTCCGTGGCACAAGGAGGTTTGAAAGCCAAGTTATTTGATCATTTTCGGCGTGAGATTGTACAAGTAAGAATCGACGACACTACTTTATTCGTATATACGTGATTGACTCTCTTGGTATAATAGACCTATGGATATGAGCATATTGAAACATTACATCGATTGGAAACTTTGGGGCTCTTGACCAAACGTACAACATCAGCACCTTCCCGAAGCGCCTTTGCATCAAGCCGTAGATCACTCCGATTGATTGTGGACGACGTTGACGAAATCCATCCCAACGACATATCCTATGTATATTCCGGCTATGCTCCTATGAGTGTACGATTGGTGCAATGTGCTATGCAAAAGTTGGCTGGAGGTAGTATTGGTAGTACAGGTGCTAGTGCTGTCAGTTTACTCTCCTATGTGGGTGGTGGTGGCACATCAAGTTCAGCCTCCTTGGCAACAGGCAACATCAATGGGGGTAGCAACGGTGTCAATGGCAACAACAACAACAGCATGCCAGGAGCCACTGTCACTCAAGGATGGCGTGGATATGAAGAAGTCATGCGTGCATTACCGGGCAAGTCATTTGAGATCACACAAACAGTGGAATATGGCCCTGAGACGAATGCGGCAATGGCACGTGCACGACGTAAGTATTATTATTCCACGAACATGATAACACTATACTAAACTGCTGTATATATCTTGTAGGACATGGCATGCAACATGGAAAGACAACAGTGATTTTCTTTTTGGGTGGATGTACATTTACTGAAGTATCTGCCATACGATTCCTCGCACAACATGATGAAAGTAAGTTTTTTTTTTCCTTGTTTGTTTATAATGGTGTTGCCTATGCTAAATGCTCTATGCCATATCAGGTCGTGATTATCTTGTTGCCACCACGCAGATGCTCAATGGAAATTCACTTTTGGAATCCGTGGTCACAAACTGCAGTACACACAAGGCGGGCCATGGCACTGGAAGTAATCCTATCAATCCACAAGCAACAGCAGCACCCGGTGTTTAGATAAAGATAATAGTATTATATGGCATGATTCTATCACAACATTTTATTTCATGTGTGGTGGTATGTTTGATCGACATGTGCATCATGTATTGAATGGTGGTGGTGGTGGTAAAACTAAGAGAGGTACCTGGATGGTGGGGGTTGCGGGTTGTGAAAAGTGGGATTGATCCCACCAATTTCTGGCAAAACACTGATAGTCGTTAATACTCGCAAACTGTTTTTGTGCGCTTGTTCTTTACTTGTTTCTGCTCCGTTTAAACGCTACTCGACTTTTTGCTGATGGCGCCGCTTGCTCTAAAGATCAAGGGCAACAAGTCATTCTCGCCTTTTGCGAACTTAGATTCCGAAGAAGACCTTTCAAAGACCTGGAGAGTATGCACCAAAGTCAAAGACTCGCTCGAAAATGGCTCTCGATTGGAAAATCTCTCATGGCGTCTTTGGTTCAGACACCATTTGCTTACCGAACGTTCCAATGCACCCTTTCGTAAACTTTCTCGCACGACCGCTCGACAACTGGATCATCAGAATTCGAAATTGACGCCGTTGAAGGATAGTAACACCACCACCAGCAAACGAGTCAATCGTAAGGATGACAAGCCTGAAGCTCAAGCTCCATCTTGCAAAGTGCAGGAGACACAGGAACACTTGCAACAAGAAAAAGAACAGCAACCTCCTCCACCAGCACCAATGGCTGTATCAATACCACATGATCAGCAGCAACCAGCACAGCAACCAGCACAGCAACCAACGCAGCAACCACAGCCAGCACAGCAACCACAGCAACAACCACCACAACCACCACCACCAGCACAGCAACAACCAGAGCCATCTTGGAGCGCACAGGGACCTAGTCCAATGACAATGGATGATAGCAACAATGCACTTTTACAGTCGCAACAACAGCAACAACAATTACAAGGGATTCAAATGGCATCCTCAGCCGCTATCCAAATACCTGAGCTAGGAGGTTATGATAGTGCCAGTAACCAGCAACAGCAGCAGCAACCACAAACCTTTGTACTTCACCAATTTACATCTGATCAGGCCAGCGATCAAATTGTGGAATTGGATGATATCTTTGGATCGCTTGGGAATTTTCAGAATTTCTTACCCAACAACAACGCTGCCGATAACGGATCTGGTATCTCAGCACTTGCTCAAGCTATTGCTCATGGCAATAATCCAACACCATCTTCATCTGGTTTCAGCGCCCAATGGACATTTGATAGTTTTGATTCACCGGTCGATATTTATTTTCCATCTCCCGTTCCTCCATCGTTGCCACAATCTCAACAACAGCAACAACCACAACAACAGCAACCACAACAACAACAGCCATCTCAAACATCCATGCAATCAACCAATACTACACAACAACAACAACAGCAACCAATGATGATGGATAATTCGTCATTTGCTATGCAACAGCAGCAACAACAGCAGCAACAACATCTTTCATTTTCAGTTCCGACTAGTCCCGTTATGGGAACCAACCGACAGCATCATCAGCAACAGCAGCAACAATCACTCCCCATCGCTCATGGAATGCTGAAACAAGGCACGTTTGGATATGTAAATGGAATGGGTGATAATCAGGCATCCTCTTCAATGCCACCACCACCACCATCAGGTACTGCCAGACTTATGAGCATGCCAGGATCAGTAGCTGGGTCACCTACTCATTTGTATCATCAACCTCCTGCAAATGAATATACACCTACTATGTCTACTTCAGCATCTACTGCATCTTCTTCAGTAGCAAGTTCTACAGCATCGCCTCCCACCATGGCCAATCCAATGACGACTACTACTACTACCACAACCACCACTACTACGCCTTGTGAGACGAATTTGTGAGTGTGAATCAAGCTTAGGTCTATGTATACATTGTTACTCATCCTATTATAGAGCACTCTCTTATCCACCCAATCATGCTGATATGCAAGCTGAGCAACATCCACAAACAACAATGACAGTACACACTCCACCACCATCAGCATCATCTTCATCGGTTACAACCCCTACAACGACCATGCCATCTGCCAATGAAATGGTCTCAGCACCTACACATGCACCACCACCACCACCCAAACCAAAAAAGCCAACGGCTGCAGCTACGAGTAGTGATGGCAGTGGTGGAAAACCAATTTGCAGCAACTGTGGTGCAACATCCACTCCATTATGGCGACGATCCGCCAATGATGAATTATTATGCAATGCTTGTGGTCTATAGTAAGTGATCCATCACCACCATTCTATGATCTTTTTTCTTATATATATATACACGTTTATCCTAGTCAAAAGCTACACAATGCTCCTCGACCCAAGACACTCAAGCCCAACAATGGACGTAAGGATTTACGAGAAGAGGAGGCTGCACAACTTGTTTGTTCCAATTGCTCTACTACCACTACACCCTTATGGCGACGTGACGAGGCAGGTTCCCCGTTATGTAATGCTTGTGGTTTATAGTACGTATTTACTTGTTGATGCTTTTCAAACCAAATGCTTATATGATTATGATAGCTTAAAGTTACATCATGAACGTCGACCGCTTTCGATGAAGACAGATATTATCAAGAAGCGTCAGCGATATGAAAGTGGTAGCAACGCCAATGGTACACGTAAACCTGTCAACAAAAAAATCAAGAGTGATCAATCGCCTATAGCAACCGAGTCATCATCTACTCCTACTACTACCACCACCGCTACTACTCCTACTTCGACTACACCTGGCATTTCTATACCGCAAAATATTGCATCATCTTCATCCAACCAGCAACAACAACAACAACGGCAGCCCATCTTTTTGAACAATAGTCAATACACCATGGGTGGTCAACCTGCTGCTGCTGCTACCAACAGCGCTCCTAGCACGCCTACTTCCACGACCCCTACCGCCACGCCTACCTTTGTGTACGTCACCCAACAACAACAGCAGCAGCAGCAACAACAGCAACAACAACAGCAACCATCTATTTCCATGCAATCCCAGTTTTATTAGATTTGCATCTTTCTCTTTCTCTCTCACACACACGTCTTTTTCCTTTTTTAAAAAATCTGTATTATACCGCATTTCCTCCCTTTCCGCTTCCCCTCTCACCCTACCTACCAAAATCGTGTTCTTTTGCGCATTTCTTATTATAAAAAAGTTTATTCAACATGTTGTTTGATAGATTGCTTTTCTTCTTCTTGTTGCCTTTGTTGTTCTTGTGCTAACCATTCAGTCAACGGCATGGCTTCATGGATGGATAATTCGAGGTTGATTTGTGTCTTGAATTCCTTGAATTTGGCTTCAAATTCCATCACTGTCAATCGTGGCTGATCATGGGCAATCCAAAAGGCATTGAACTTGTGATACAGGTAGCCTACAATGGATGAATGATGTTAATGATATTACGTGTGGGAGGTGATGAAGATGAACATACAATAAAACTCGCTAAACATCTTTTTGTCGCATCCATATTTGAAAAGATAATACTGCAATTGACGTGTACGTAGGGTTTGAACAGCAAATTGTGAAATGTTGATGCCTACAATAGCGAATGGGTACCAAGAGACGGGATGGCGAGAGCTGAGGAATGTTTGTTGTGCCGATTCAGGGTGGGTGCTTGCATAATAAACGAGATCATCCAATCCTTGCAATCCCATACCACGAAAATCAGTCGCTGGGTCATTGCCTTGAAATCCAATCTATATTCTCTTATCTATCAGCTGCTGAAGGGATCCTCTCGTATATAGTCATAGTTACCTCGCCCCATTGCCGTGTCATCCGTGCCTCGAGTTCGGTATCTGGCATTAAACACTTCCACAACTAGAAGCCCAATCAATCGATGAGTATGCAATGTACGTAAAAAAAGGTGGCAGGATACATACCTTGAGTAATTTTTGTTCATGGAGAGGATTGGTAGAATCGTACTTTGTATGAGCGCGTTCATTGACGAGGTGCATGAGTTGATAGGTGGAAGCAATACGAGAAAGACAAGCTTGTAGGACACATGCTGCAGGTCTAAACAACAACAAGGATCACGTATTAGAAAAAAGATGCATTAAATAGAGATGGAGATGGGATATGCACCTTTTCAGAGATTCATCCAAAGGAAATGCTTTCTTTGTCATGATCGCATCGGTCAATTCTTCCACGTTACAAGAGGATGATTCGAGCTCGCGTCGTTCCAACTAATCATCATGTACACACGTCAAAATCAAATCATGTGTGCATGCACATCCTATTTTTTTTACTACCTCCAGCACTTTGGAATAAAGGATAGACCGATCTAATTGTCGGATATGTATTAGTGCATGACATACAAAAACACACATCCTCCTATTCTATACCTATGCGATAGACCGCGTCCACAGGGATCATGGCTGCAGCATCCTCGATATCAGGAAAAGAAGGTTCTCGTTTCAAAAGAGGCACCGTATCATGTTCCTTATCCACGGTCTCGTCATGCTCGTTGTTGTCCTGGTGCCATCCCAATCGCTCTGCTGTCGAGTTGCTAATGCGATAAATCTCTGTTGTGTGTGTTGTCAATCGTAATACGGCTTTGTAAAACTTGTACAGCGATAATAGTAAAGGCGACTGGTAGATTCTGTTCAGGAACAAGAACCAGAACCACCCCATGATGCCAATGAGAGAATGGGAGAGAGTGAAACAAAGGACTGGCTTGGAGATAGAGAAAAGAGACAAAGAGTACCTGTGTACGTAAACACGTGAAATCAACACAATACCCTAGATCCCCTTCTTTCTATCACTAGCCACGCGATCATTCAAAGAGGCATTCGGCTTATCAGTGGGGATGGTAGTAGTAGTAATTGTGATGATGATGGTGGTGGTGGTGATGGTGGTTGCATTGACAACGGTAGCCATGGATATGCTACTAATTGAGATTTATTGGGTGTATCCAATGATGGGTTGATGAATGAAAAGGACAATGATTCAATGGCCATAACAACCTGCTACATTATGCATAGAAAATAAAAGGGTTGCAAGTGATTAGTGAAGGGTGCATACCGACATCCAAAAATAGCATGTACGACGACAATGATATCGAGGAAACGAGACGATGTGTCACAGAGCCTAATTAATTGTGTTCGCGCAACATTGCAAAGCTGGTAGAGCACCGTTTTCGTTTCCTTTCTTTTCACTTGTTTGCTCCTCCTCCTCCGCTCAATCCTCTTTTTCTTTTCCTTCTTCTCTTTTGTTACCCTTCACTTTCATTTTCCTCTCTCTCTTTTTCGTCTCTCCACCTACAAAAAGTTACTACAACAACATCCCGATCCTATCCTTGACCATATGAAACTCGCCTCATACACAACTTTGTCAGCCGCTGCTGCTGTGCTCTTACAACTGGGCACTTTTGTCCACGCCAACCCCATGTTTGAAGAACACAACGATGCCGCTTCAACCGAAGACAACTGTCAAGGTGAGTTGTTGACACACTCATCGTGCACCATGTTCACCCTCATTGACCACCACCGTTTTGTTCACCAGGTTTTAGAGTGACTTTTCCCGCAGGCACAGGTAATTTAAATTTAGGGGAGCCCTCTCTCTCTCTCGAGACTCCCTAATCCCTTTTTTTTCTACCCGCCAAATTATGCTTATGCTTGTGTATAATAGGTCTTCAATTCGAGGAGAACAGTAAGCATTTGGTTGCCTGGGGTAAGGCACCTGCTGGTTTGGATCAAGTCAACGTTACATTGGCAAACGCCAACCAAGAGGCTGTGGCATGGCTCGGTCTTTATGGTAAGTAAATGACAGAATATCCCGATTTGGTTCCAATATCCGCTCATTCAATCAACTTTTTATAAATCACCAGATGCTTCACTCGGTGCCACCACTAGTGAAATGCCCTTCCCTCTCAATGGCCAACAACCAGGTAACTATCATTTGTTTCTACTTTATTATCATCATTGTCTTATACATTTGGTATCATTATTATAGGCGATTATCATATCCATCTTGCTGGTGTGGGTAGCAACGCTTGTCAAGTTGATTCCGATCCATTCAAGATGAATGCTGCCAAGACCATTCAACAAGCTACCACCAACAATCTTCAACAAACCGGATCCAACACATCCAATGACGACCATGAGGTAAATCCACATACATACATACATACACAATGATGAGCATGTTACTGATGGTCTGCATTATAGGATGCAGCATCCAACTTTACCAATGATGATCAACGCACCCATTTGAACGAGGACATGTTGAATGAGATTGAACAGCTTGCTCAAGAAAAGACCAAGCATGACAATGCTAAATACTTCACCAACGACGATCAACGTACCAACAAGCAACATTCGAATGCTGATGCTAGCTGGTTCACCAATGACGATCAACGTTCTCATAAGAATGATAGCGAGCATGATGATAGCTTGGATGCCTGGTCCACTGAAGAAGTGTCTATGGAGGATGCAAAGACATGGCATGATGATAGCGCTGACGTTGTGGATCATTCCAATGTGGGTGAATGGACTTCTGAAGATCTCGATCGTGCCCATGTTGATGCCGAAGGCTTTTACAACGAAGAGGAACACGAGAACGATGCCACTGTCAACTACATCACCGATTACTCCAATGTGGGCGAGTGGCAAGCTGAACAAGTCGATGCCAACGAGGATGAATATGTTGCCTCCCATGATGATGCTTCACCAGCTGATGGTTGGGTTGAAGATGGCAAGAGCGATCTTTTTGATCATACCAACCTTGGCAGCTTCAGCGCCGAAGAAATCACTGTCGATGACGATGTTCAACAACATCAGGATATCACTGGCTGGCAAGCTGAAGAGATTCAAGTCATGGCTGAAGAACAACAACAACATGACAACGTCGCCGATCAATGGGTTGATGAAAGTGGCAACGAGCAACAAGAACAACATGAGGATGATGCTACTGCTTGGATCACCGAAGAGCTCGATGAAAATGGCTTGAGCAACGATATCCAACAAGAACATAAGAATGATGTTGAAGAAGATGATGCTCCTGCTGAATGGCATATGGATGAATTGCCCACCTCTGTGCCATCGTGGGAAGAGCAAGTTGACAATGCTTCCTTGGCTGATCATACCGATGCTGCACCTTTTATCGCTGAGGAAATCAAGGAAGAGAATGAACATGCCAACATCGCTGATCAATGGATGGATGAATCTTCTTCCTCCTCTTCCTCTCAACCCCATGCCAATGTGGCTGATCAATGGATGGATGAATCTTCCTCTTCTTCTGCTGCTGCTCAACCTCATGCCAATGTGGCTGATCAATGGATCGAGAATGATGCTGCTCCACATACCGATCAAGCAGCCCCTACCGGTAAAGCCACCACTGGTATCTTGCCCAATTATTCTAGCGACTCGTCTGCTTTGAATGGTGATGATGCTACTACCTCCTCCTCCTCTTCCAACACTCACAATGATGCCGCTCCAATCTCGTGGTTGTCTCCCGAAGCACTCATGGCCAAATGGTAGAGAATACCCAACCCTCCCTCCTTTTCCCTCCTCCTCCACCATGTATCCCTGTAACACTTGTAATACAAAAAAATTGTACCGTTTATCAGAGTGATAGAATGAATGTGAATGTGTGTGTATGTATACAAGCGTACTTTTTTTTATTTACTTTAGCCATTGATTATAAGATTTCAACAGGGTACGTTTACTACCTGATCGACCTGTTGTTTGGCAATCCTTTTCCAATGCAAAGATAGCATCGCGTACAGTGACTTTACGCATACTTGGATCACCCAATCGATGTGTTCGACCAATAGTAGAAGGTGGTAAAAACAAGCCAAGGCCATCATGTCGTAAATCACGTCCAGCGGCACCTCTTCCACGTCCAGCACCACGTTTAAGACCATCACCTGTTTTACGACCACGCGGTCTTCCACGTCCACGAGGAGATCCATCATCAAGACCACCACTACCACCAGCAACGCCACCTTCTGCTGCTCCTGCTGCTCCTGCACCAGCTCCAGCACTACCAGAGGATCGTGGGGTGCCACCACCAGGGGTTGTTGATGTATCCTTGTTACCCGTCAACATCCAGCTTTTGCGTACACCACCAATGGCACGAATCAAGGCAGTTTCACTGGTGCTGCCTCCTTTTCCTGATCCATCACCAGAGGCTCCACCAGGACCAGAACCACGTGCACCACCACTGGCAGGACCACCACCAGCACCTGTACCATCTTTGTCCTTTTTCTTCTTTTTGGATTTGCCATCTTCGCCTTCACCTTCACCCATTTGCATCCTTCGTTCACGTTCAGCGAGCAATTCCTTTCGTTTACGTTCTTCTTCACGTTCAGCACGCTCAATCGCCAACAGTTGCTTTCTTGGGTCTTGTTGCACAACAATGCGATACAAGGGATGGCCTGTCCTTTCATCCAGAGGCGGAGGAGCACTTCCTGCTTGTGACATGACACGATGTTTGGATGCATCCACCATTTGTTCTACCAATCCACGCAATCGTTCTTGTGTTGCAAGCGCCAAATAGGATATAAAATCTTGATCCACATTGCTGATTTGTAAAGGTTGCGCCAATTCAAGCACACGTGATCGTAACATGTCGCCATTCATGAAATCTTGTATCTTGGATCGATCCACACCATCAGGCAATATAGCTCCTGTGCCATCACCCTCCTTTAAAAAGTGCTCGGCTTCTTCACGTAAATCCACACCAGCGTATCCCATCACATCCGTCAATGTATCGTAATCAATTCGATCACCACCGCCACCGCCACCTCCACTTCCACCAGGAGCAGGTGTACTACTTGTAGGTGTGGCTGTTCGCATCATGTTGCCAGCACCACCAGGAACAGCTGTAGCGGCTGCCGAACGAGGAATTTGCAATCCAGCAGGTGTTTTGAAAGTGGAAGATGTCATTGGCGTACTGATAGGTGGGCCCATTGGCATGCCTGGGGGTATATGTTCCTGCTTGGGTCGTTTCATTTGTGGTGTACTATAAGAAAAACGAAATCCCATTCAATCATCCCTATTCTCTTTCTCTTTCTCTTTGTTGATAATATACACTTACATGATGCCTGCCATATTCTGTGCACTGGATATAGGTCGTTTCTCGCTTGCCTTAGTGTCCTGATTCGGCTTGTTCTTCAAATCTTCCAATTGTTGATATTGTTGTTGACCCAACAAGGATCGTGCTTGGGTCAAAAACTGCTCAGGCGTAATCACATTATTCTATAGATACCATCATGATGTTGAATACATGGTAGAAAAGTGGGATCGCGTTTGACGTACCTGTAACTGTCGAAAGAGATCAAAGAATTGGTCTTTGCGTTCTGGTGGTAATTGTGATGTGATGTTTTCTAAGAGTGTGGTGGAATTGGTTGCTATATATCGATCCATCATTAGCATCCAATGTTTCGATACACCCACCAAAAGACCTTACGTGGTTGTGATTGAACAGGTACCGAATTGCCAGCTGTGGATGTGATGACAGGTGAAGGTGTAGGTTGTTGAGAGGATGGCATGGACATGGACATGACATGGACGTTGGATGGCATAGCAGCAGCACTACCACCACTGGTTGGCATCACCCATGGTACTCCTCCACTACCACTACTGGAAGGTGTCTGTTGTTGTTGTTGTTGTTGTATAGCATGCTGTGGTGTCGTTGCTGGTGATATCGGTTGACTGTTGGTGCCACCACTCGTATTGCCTTGACCTAATAGATTCTTCACTTGGCGTGTCAATGGAAACGAAAGAACACGCTTGTATGTATAGAACACTTACCAGATCGGTGCCATTGGAACCACCCAATAATTGTTGTAATTCGGCAGGAAGACCATCTTGGCCCGACATGTTTTGCACCATGGACTGGAACGATGCATCACTCGCGCTGTTGTCTCCCAAAAACTCTTGGAGGTTGAAGTTCAAGTGGTTGGATTGCTTTTGGTCGTCGCCATCCGCCATGGTTGTAGATCGTTTGGGAAAGAGAGAAAGCGGTAAATTGAAAAACACTCAGCTGCACTGTGGAGCCACCACCACCCCATTTGGCAATTCGATCCCACCACCCCTCCAAGCTTGCATTGTTATCCATTGTTCACTAGATTCGTGTGTCTCCCATCGTTTATTAATAAAGCATTCATCTTACAAGATGTATTACGCCGCTACTGCTGCTAAGGTCTAACCACTGTTTAAAACAAAATGAATCAATCAGACCCTTTCCTCTCTATCACAGCAGCAGTTACAAATGGGTACTATTTTACAATCCTACATTTACCATACCATACCATACCATACCACATCACGTGCTCACATACGACGAGATCCAACGAAAGAAGGAAGGTTTCTTACACTATCCATGCTTTGAAATAGATGGCCAACGTAATTTTCGTATTCGCTAAAGTAATCCTTTAATCCAAGATCATTCACAAGAGATGGATTGAGAATGCAACAATAAATTGCTCCAATGAGGGGATACATCGACTTGGGAAGTTCCTATAATTTGGACGTGCACCGTTGTTGTGCAAAGGTGAATGGATGGATGTGATGCGTGGTGGCGAGTTATTGCATGTCCTAGTTGGATGGTGACGATTGACAGGTTGCACGAAGGATGATGGTAGTTGCTATCATTGTATTCTCGATATTCCCTTAACAGCGTAAATATCATGTCGAATGCGTATAGCATTGCTACTCACACAGGATAAGACGAAGTATTATGGGTATGGTTCCACTGAATGGATAGTGAGAAAACATATTTTTTGGAGATCTATTGATGGTTGTTCGATATGTTTATGTATTTAGTTGTATTCTCTATCGAGATTATGACAGTATGTTGTGCAAAGATGGGTTTTGTATCGTATGTGTAAAGGCTCTAAGGATGTCCTAATCTGGGCCTTGTGAATTGAAGTATTGATCTCAGGGCTGCTGCCAAGGTACTGTTCTACCTCGTCGGAAATGGCAATGTAGTGGTGAGATAAAGCTTCTTTAATACTTCAAAAGTGATGGCTTTATTCATGTCATTGTGATAAGTATACGTGTGTTAAGAATATAGGATTGCTATTGAATACTCACTTTGAGTGTGAAGAGTGTGTGTGTTCTTTGAATATGAAGCTTTGCGTAAAAGAGAAGGGTTGTGTGCGTGTGTGTGTGGGAAATCAGGGTACATCTATTTTAGAGGAATCGTCCTTCAGCTCAAACCGTCAAGTCAGGTGATCTTGGACTTTTCAACTCCTCCTTCAGTGGTAGTCACAGTCTTTATAAACCCAGCTCGACAACCTTGAAAACGGAGCATGATTTCCGCAGCTGCGTTTTCAGTACGTCCGGTAACTTGTTGCGTTCACTGTGATGGGGTAAGTGCTAAATGCAGCATCACTTGTTGACGGGTACGCTAACATTTCCAAAACGTGTTGCGTATGTCGAAAGGCCCATAGGATTCATAGCTTTTGGAGGCAATTCAAGGAGACAGCAAGTGGGGTATTATGGGAAGGATCTCGTTTACTGCGTTACCGAGTCCATAGTATTCTCTCTTGTCTTGACTTGCGCCATGGCCAGATATCTTTGTGTGCCGATGCCCATAGGATCCGCTTTTGAAGTATCGGTTGCGAGTAAAGGCGATCCGAGTGAGTTGCAAGTGGATAATGTGGGAAGGACTTCGTAATCTACGTCGTCGAGTCCATCTTCCTTTTGGGATTTGGGAAGGTCTTCGTAGTTGCGTCGCCGAGTCCATATTTTCCCCCTTCAACTTGCGCCGTGGCTAGATTTATTCACTAGTAGTAATTTTTACCATATGAAAGCTATTAAAGAGTCCTTGAGAAATATCAAAGCTAGCACTATGGATTCATTTGATTGGATTCAGAAAGAGTAATAGTAACACTACAGCAGGTGAACATCAGGAGATGGGACATAATCGACAACCGCCATTAGATGACGGAAGAGGATAATACATTGGGAGTAAAAATGATCTAATCCTATTGCTGGAGAAGACGTCTCAAGAGCCATGGCACCTTCACGCCTTCGTTCAGCTTTCTATTCCCTTTTCAATCCAACTCCAATCGTATCATCGTCAATCCCTAAACCAAGCACGTGTTCCATGTCTTACACTTGCGCGCTGATTATACGATACTCTAGTTCTTATCTTGAATCCAATGTTTATTCATGAGTGGGCGTGGAAGAAATGACGTGGTAGTGTGAATGTTTATGAAGTATGATAAAGGAGCAGGATTGCAGGACCACATAGAGCCAATGGGTTGGGTATCATCGTGTCATTGTATTCTTGATGGATGCCCTCATAAACATCCTTCGTCCATAATTGCAATATCATCCATGGCTGCAAAACACCTCTTGCCAATCCCATCCAATCCATCATCATCCTCAGCCGTATCCTTGGGATATGGTCCATCATTCCTGCCAATGACAACACGACAAGCAACCAAAGCAACATCCCAGGCTTTCTCCTCGCTGCATTTCCAAAATGTTGGTTGAAAAGAGCCATCATGTGATTGCTGCTGGTACTCTTCCTTTTCTATCCGGCTGTTGACCAATCACTTGCTCGCATCTCAACCAGGTGTTGCAGCGTACTCGATTGCTGATGTGCTGTGATCCAAGCTAGACATCACCTTCTAGATGGGCCAAGCGATCCAACTCGGTCAATGTAACCAATTCCTTCCATCCCATGTACCCAAAACGATATCCAGATCCATATCCATATCCATAAGAAGTCGTATGTATTGAAAACAAGTTGCTACACGTAAATAAAGCTGGTTCTATATGATGGCTATCTGCTGATCACGTAAAAAGACTGCAAGACACGTTGCTGCAAGTACCTTGAAGCAATGGTGTGTAGAGATCGCTAATGGCAACTGCTGGAATGAATGCGTTACGTTTGATTGCGGTAGAAGAGTGTACAAGAGAGCGCGTTGTGTCAAGAGACTCGTGTGTTGAAGAAGAGTGACAAGAAGGCTGTGCACGCCATGAACTTGCCATTCAGTCAAAGACAATCGGATTACGATAGCTGTAGGATTGACATGATGGGTTGAAGCAGGACAATCGTTCGCAGGTGGTAGTTGTATACTTGAATGGGCCAACAATCGAGAATGGGAGGAAGAGGCAAGAAGTTGGCGAGTGGAAGACTTGGAAATTAAGTAGACTTTTCTGTTGCTTGGATGACACGTGTGTTTTTTGAGCGTTGTTCAATCACATCCCCTCGGATCAAGAAAGTTGAAGGATGGTCATGATGGACTGGAGCAGGACAATCGTTCACATGCATTGGGTTGGGCAACAAAGGTGGTTGGGAGGAATGGGCTATTAGCTGGCAGTTTACAAATAACTTTGCAAGATGATTTTTGTGAAATTGGATGATACTTCTGTGTTTGAGCGTTTTTCAGTCAAATCCTCTCGGATCAAGAAAGTTGAAGGATGGAAATGATGGGCTGGAGCAGGACAATCGTTCACATACATTGGATTGGGTAACAAAGATGAATGGGAGGGAGAGGCTATTAGCTGTGACTTATGAATGGTTACTAAATAGTGTAAAAGTACCATGCATGAACCCTTCAGGTCCGTCCGATCGCCTGTGTTACACAAAGAAGCCCGTCTGCATCTTTGACTCTCTCAGGTCTACCTACTCGACACTGAACAAAGATCACTTGCCATATAGCATCACGCTTACAACATAACACGCCCATATCTCAAGATTTCAGAATCAAACATGGGGTCTTTAATAGAACAACATGCTCGGCGGGGTGAAAGTGATCTTGGGTCAAAGTTTCAAGTTCATCGTGGCTAATCCCAGATTTCGCAATGTCGCCACCAGCCAAACTGGATCCAGGGGTCGACCTCCTCGACGACGACGACCAAAAAAATATTTTTTGGGCTAGTTGCGACATTGAACGTGAAACTTTCACACAAGGTGCTGTTGGCCAAGCCGAGCCCATTGCTCTAATAAAAACCCCACGTTTCATTGTAAAGTTTGGAGATACAGGCACCTTTATGTTTGTAAGCGTGATGCTATATGAGAAGTGGTCTTTGTTTAATGTCAAATAGCTGGACCCTGACAGAGCAAAAGATGCAGAGGGTCGTGTTGTGTAACACAGCTACGTTTGCATGACTGGAAAGATGGAAGGATGATACTGTATACTATTGACAATAGCCCATACATTGCGAGCTATCAGCCATTTCCTCACAATCAGCGTTGTTGCAAAATCCACTGCATGTGAACGATGCTCCTGCTCCAGACATTCATTTCCATGATTCAATTATCTTGATCCGAGCTGATTTGGCTGAGCTACGGTCAAAGAGATATTACATGAATCCAGACATCAGCATACGTTCGAATGTCTCAGCTGATTAATCCTTGTTCGACCGTAACTCAACCAAATAAGTTCGGATCAAGCTACTTTAGCCATGGAAATGGATGTCTGCAGCAGGAGCATCGTTCCCATCACGTAGATTTTGCAACAATGTTGATTGGATAAAAGTGGTTGTTAGCTGCCAATGTATGGCCTGGAAATGAGGTTTGCGTACCTGTCATGCATCGTCCCTGAAGTCCTGACTTTTTAGCTGAGTTACCCAAAGAGGTCCTTCTGCATCTTTTGCTCTATTATAGCCATACTACTTTACATTAAACAAAGACCACTTGTCATATATAGTCACGCTTACAAACATAAAGGTACCTGTATCTCCGAACTTTACAATGAAACGTGGGGTTTTTATTAGAGCAATGGGCTCGGCTTGGCCAACTACACCTTGTGTGAAAGTTTTACGATCAAACTTGCCAATCCCAGATTTCGCAATGTCGCCACCAGCCAAACTGGATCCAGGGGTCGACCTCTTCGAAGACGACGACCAAAAAAATATTTTTTGGGCTGTTTGCGACATTGAACGCGAAACTTTCACGCAAGGTGTAGTTGGCCAAGCCGAGCACATTGCTCGAATAAAAACCCCACGTTTCATTGTAAAGTTTAGAGATACAGGCATCTTTATGTTTGTAAGCGTGACTATATATGACAAGTGGTCTTTGTTTAATGTAAAGTAGTATGGCTATAATAGAGCAAAAGATGCAGAAGGACCTCTTTGGGTAACTCAGCTAAAAAGTCAGGACTTCAGGGACGATGCATGACAGGTACGCAAACCTCATTTCCAGGCCATACATTGGCAGCTAATAGCCACTTTTGTGCATTCCCAACTTTTGTGCATTCTATTGTAGGTGGACGATGCTCCTGCTCTAGACATTCATTTCCATAATTAAAGTAGGTTGATCCGAGCTGATTTGGTTGAGTTACGCTCACACAAGATTACATCGGTTGAGCTACATCGAGCGTGCTTTATGTCCAGAGTGGTGTAATCTCTCTTTGACCGCAGCTCAGTCAAATCAGCTCGGATCAACCTACTTTAATCATGGAAATGAATGTCTAGAGCAGGGGCATCGTTCCCAGAAGTGGATCCCGCAACAATGATGATTGGATAAAATTGGCCGTTAGCTAGCAATACATGCCTGTTCCTAGACGATCCATAAAGTAATTATACATTGACCCTTTCATTCATGCAAACGTAGCTGTGTTACACAACACGACCCTCTGCATCTTTTGCTCTGTCAGGGTCCAGCTATTTGACATTAAACAAAGACCACTTCTCATATAGCATCACGCTTACAAACATAAAGGTGCCTGTATCTCCAAACTTTACAATGAAACGTGGGGTTTTTATTAGAGCAATGGGCTCGGCTTGGCCAACAGCACCTTGTGTGAAAGTTTCACGTTCAATGTCGCAACTAGCCCAAAAAATATTTTTTTGGTCGTCGTCGTCGAGGAGGTCGACCCCTGGATCCAGTTTGGCTGGTGGCGACATTGCGAAATCTGGGATTAGCCACGATGAACTTGAAACTTTGACCCAAGATCACTTTCACCCCGCCGAGCATGTTGTTCTATTAAAGACCCCATGTTTGATTCTGAAATCTTGAGATATGGGCGTTTTATGTTGTAAGCGTGATGCTATATGGCAAGTGATCTTTGTTCAGTGTCGAGTAGGTAGACCTGAGAGAGTCAAAGATGCAGACGGGCTTCTTTGTGTAACACAGGCGATCGGACGGACCTGAAGGGTTCATGCATGGTACTTTTACACTATTTAGTAACCATTCATAAGTCACAGCTAATAGCCTCTCCCTCCCATTCATCTTTGTTACCCAATCCAATGTATGTGAACGATTGTCCTGCTCCAGCCCATCATTTCCATCCTTCAACTTTCTTGATCCGAGAGGATTTGACTGAAAAACGCTCAAACACAAAAGTGTCATCCAAGCAACAGAAAAGTCTGCTTAATTTCCAAGTCTTCCGCTGCCAACTTATTTGCCTCTTCTTCCCATTGTCAACTCCTGCGAACGGTTGTCCTCCTTCAGCTCATCATGTCAATCCTACAACTCTCTCGATCCGATTGTCTTTGACTCATGGCAGGTCCATGGCGTGTACACAGCCTTCTTGTCATTCTATTACAACACACGACTCTCTTGACACAACACACCCTTCTCTGCCACAACCAATCGTAACAGCGTCCATTCCAGCAACTGCTATCAGCGAGATCCTCAACTCGATTGTCTCAAACAGCGTTCACAGCCTTGTCATTCTATACAACACACGCTCTCTTGTAGTACAATCCTCTGCCGCAACCAAACGCTATTAGGAAGGTCTCGACTCGCTTGTCCCAAGTTACTTGCAGCATCCTGCAGCCATTTTTCAAGTGGTCAGCAGATAGAAGCAGCTTTATTTACGTGTAGCAACAAGTTTCAATACATACGATGTGTATCCGGATATTGTTTGGTACATTGGCATGAAAGGGGAACTTCATCTGGTTAAGCTGGAAGGGAAATGGCCAAGTATGAGATGGAAAAGGAAGCATACCAGCAGGGATCACATGACTCTTTTCATCAACCTGTTGGTTATGATGGATGAGTGCAATCAAGTGCAGTGATGAGAAACCTTGAAATGTTGCTTTGGTTACATCTCGCGTCGTCGACAGGAACGATGGGATCATATGATGTGGATATGACTGATGATGATGATGGATGGGATGCGATGAACGAAAGGGTTTATATCTTTGGCGAAGGGAGGTGTTTTACAGCCATGGATGGTACTGGAGCCAATGAATACAGCAGCGATTTTGCAATCATGGAATGAAGGACGTTTACTGTATTGTGTGCGACTCTTTGACTTTTCCATTGAATGGTGTATTAGATGAGCTCATAATATGGGCTAAATGGGGATCACTTGGATTGAAAGGGGGAATAGAAATAGGAAAGTCGGAAAATGAGATGGGATCATTTACATCATCGTATTGAGTTGCTTTTGTGTTTTAAGCGTGATGCTATATGAGCAGTAGTCTTTGTTCATTGTTAATTGCCTCATTCGTATTAGAGCCAAAGATGCAGAAGGATTTGGTTGTGTAACAATGGACTTGAAGCGTCGACGCTATTGGTGGAGAAATGCATAATGGTTTCATATTATACGAGGTCGTATTGGACAGCACTTATATAGCTTGTGTGCAATGTCATTGTGAGAACAAGAAGTATGAGCGAATTCAAAACTCTGATTTCAATGTATGAAAGTTGAGATGAGAGATGAAAGATATCGACGTTGTTGAGGATACCTTTTGGCTGAGCCGCCGTTGTCAGTAGTGAGTCCTTTCAGGTACACTGATCATTCTTTTTCGCCCGCAAGTTGCATTTCCTATTCAGCCCACAATACACACTGCTGGTACGTGATGATAGATCATTGAGTGAATGATCACTCGATACATTTATACACAACCATAATACCTTTGTGAGAACAAAGATAATCACTGCATCTGGAAAGTATCTGCTGGGAACGTGCCAAGTCTTATATCCCTATTCTAAAGATTTTCCTTTGTATAGTGGGGTAGCTATACTGCTTGACGCGCTCATTTGCATCCCAACAGCCCTCCTTTGTTATAATAAAGAACATTTTCGTGACGTACGCACCATTCTACACGTAATAAAACCCAATAACACACCAAGTGTCAAGGGAAATAAGGGAAGAAGGGCAACCTGCACTATGGTTGCTATGATTTTTTGATACACCCGTTTGCTTCCAAATCACACTGTTTATTTAAATAAACTATTGTATCGAGATCTACAGACGATTCTACCCGTAAATTGACTTGGTAACGCGCCATTTGCAAAGTGAGATCGAGTGGGCGTGAAATGGGACTGTGTGGGCGGGAGTGTTTTAAGTCGACTTCGTTTCCATGGCAATAGTTCCTCCTCTTTCCGCAATGCCATCTCAAGTTCATCAAGAACCGGCTCGCTTCTTTCCTCTTGTGCTCGTGCTCGCCGCATTGAAATGGAACGTTTTCGAACAAGTACATTTCATGTGGGTGATGCCAATTGCCTTCTTTCTCGGTGTCGTTGTTCCTTTGGTTCGGTGGGGGCTTTCGCGTCCCAACAATCGGTTGACTCACGTCCCGATTGCCAGCAATGCTGACTGCTCGGCCGGCGTGCCGTTGCGGGCGGCCAGGGAAAAGGTGAGTGATTCGACACAGGTGCCTACTAGCCCTGTTGTCATGGCTAATCGTCAACCCTGGGTAGCTCCAGTGGTTCCATGCAAGGCGCAAGCCTGCGAGTATCCTGGTATGTTGTTCTCAACACGACCAGTAGCACAAGTGCCCCGTCATCATGGCGACATGTCGGCCTTGGAGGGTGATGCTATTATCAACACATCATCAGCTGTGGATCTTTTCAAGCCATCCAAGCAAGTTACAAGCACACCACGGTCACCACCAAAGTTGCTTCAAGGAATGGCTATGCATAAAGCCATGCAGCACGTGTACGGCTTACCGTCACAGAAGCCTACTACTACAGCAAGAACATCATTAGCATTGTCATCATCACCACCTGCATCCGCATCTTTGGCATCATCATCATCATCATCATCATCATCTGCATTGGCATCCACATCATCTGCATCGGCATCATCATCATCATCATCATCTGCATCATCCGCATCATCATCCTTAGACGAGCTTTGTAAGTATACTTTATGAAAGGATCGTTATCTCTACATTACATTGACGCTAACTGATTTATACTTTATAGGTGAAGCTCTCGAGAAGCTCGATATCTATGAGCCGGACACGGATGTGCCAGATGCTCTTCCTGGCACTCCTGAACAATTACGAGAGATCGTAGAGAATGGTAAGTGGATTACATCTTGGAAGTGATACCAAGTATGGCATGATCTCATATTAATCCAAAAATCTCTCTTTTTTATAGAGGACGCAGATGCCTCAGAGCAAGCACCAGTCATTGAAGACATGCAAGATACAACCATGGCATCACCATCACCATCACCATCGCCACCATCATTGCCATTGCCATTGCCATTGCCACCACCACCACAAGAACCAGCGATCATGTATACCCAAGTGGTGCCACCGCCAATCACCATCCATCCGGAGGCCACACCGGAAGTAGTAGTAGCAGCAGTAGTCGCAGCAGCAGCATCACCAGCACCAGCGGCATCAGCAATACCTGTTGCATCCACCACAGGTAGCAGCAATAACCGATCACGGTTAGAGATCCGAAGGCCAGTTATTCGGCCTCGAAGTCGCCTTCGATGGCATAGACAAAGTGGGAATCCACCACCCCCACTTCCAAGACCGCCACCATCACCACCAAGGCCACCAATACCATCATCACCGCCACCACAACCACCAACACCTCCCGCCTCCACATCCTCGGCCATGAAACAAGAGGATAGAGCAAGGCCAATTGCATGTCCAAAAAGGCGCGTCAAAAGGCCGGAGTTGGTGTCACCACCACCACCACCATCATCATCATCAACAACAGCATTACCATCATCATCATCAAGGATACCATCACCTATACCACCGTCAATACCATCATCAATACCATCATCATCATCATCCACATTGCCTTCTTCGGAAGCAGAGCCTGCACCACCTTCATCAATTTTGGTTGAATATGCTGAACAAGCAGATTCATGTAAGTATACTATCATTGGGATGAATGACCTTATATGATACTAACTTTTAATCCTTTAGTCATGGGCGGAGACGACATCTTGGCAGAGATCATAGGGACCGATTTCGATCCCTATGATGTAGCAGTCTTCAATGAAGACGTATAGTAAGTTACATGCTATAGGTGTCATGGTTTAAATCACTCACATGCATATTGTATATAGATGCCCATAGAGTTTCTCAGCAAGAATTGCGAGATAGTTTGGTGGATGGAAAACCCCAGCCCGGATTCAGGCGTGCATTTCAGCTATGCCAGTTGCTTGCACATACGGAAGGATCGGCATGAAGGTATCCCGACGGGAGTTTCTTGCACGTCAACGTCTATCACTTTTAGGGCGTTGCCATGGCGATGACGTATCGTTCCAAGGATCCCTTGTTCCCATGCTACGATTAAGTCACAAAGCATTTGCGGTGTCTTTCTCCTGGTGGATCAAGAGCCAAAGGGCGATTCACTCATTATCATCATCATGTTACCCACTGGGGTATGGGATTGGACTTGAAAAGGCAAGTTAAAATCAGTGACATTGCTTGGATACCATTTATACTAATCATCCTTTGTCTTTTTATGTGGGGGTGGGTCATGGTGTATGCCGTGATACATCCCTACATAGTTTGACCGCCCTTACATGTTTTGGATGATGGTGTTTGGGCACAAGCGGTAATCATCTTTGAAGTGGGTACTTGGAAAAAACAAAAAACATCAAGACATCGACTTGCATGGGCATCGTAGTTTGGGACTTGGGACCTGGAATGGTACGTGGTCGTTATGGTAGCGCTCGTGAAGTGGTAGGCGTTGCGTGTAGGATTCTCTCGAAGGGTGTAAATCCTGCATGCTTGATTCCTTCATTTTATAGATGCACTGGTGTACTGGGATGTCACGTTCTGTTTCTGGTGTTGTGGGTTCTTCCTGAAACCAGAGTGAGGGCTCCTGCTCTTTTTGGGGAGTAGAGTTCTCTTTTCTTTTTATCGGTGGTGCAGCCGATGTGGATGACAAGGACTATCAATTTGGGACACGCCTCTCTATTGTCATGAGACCTCTCTTCATTCTATTGGTGGCGGATGACAAGACTATCAACGTTGGCACAAGTCCTCTCTTCATTTTATTGGTGGTGAAGCCGATGCGGATGACAAAGACTATCATTTGGCCCAAGTCCTCTCTTCGTTGTATTGGTGGCGGATGACAAGACTATGAACGTTGGCACAAGTCCTCTCTTCATTTTATTGGTGGTGGGACCGATCCTGATGACAAGATTATCAACGTTGGCACAAGTCCTCTCTATTGCTATGAGACCTCTCTTCATTCTATTGGTGGCGGTTGCCGAAGACAATCAATGTTGGCCCAAGTCCTCTCTTCATTTTATTGGTGGCGGATGACAAGATTATCAACATTGGCACAAGTCCTTCTATTGCCATGAGTCCTCTCTTCATTCTATTGGTGGCGGATGACAAAGACAATCAACGTTGGCACAAGTCCTCTCTTCATTTTATTGGTGGTGGAGCCGATGCGGATGACAAGACTATCAACGTTGGCACAAGTCCTCTCTTCATTGTATTGGTGGTGGAACCGATGTGGATGACAAGACTATCAATTTGGCATGGGCACTTCCTTTTGAGCCTATTCATGAATCAATCCATTCTTGGGTGCAATTCGCATGAGCACAATTTGGCGGCAATTGGTCTTACCAAGGAATATCACGCAAAGCAATCACACGAATGCAATGAGAGGCACAACTTTGGAAGAGGCATTGTCATTGGAGGGGCTCTATACTGGAAACAATCATCACAAGCATCGAGCAATTATCACAGCTATCAAGCTACATCTGATATGGGCCGCCGCCACCATGTCAAGAACACAATCCTATCATACAACAAAACCAAAAGCAAAATGGTATGTGAGTGGTCAAGTAGTATCTATACATGAAACTAACCAGCCTTTGTTCCATAGCAGTATCACAAAAAAAGCACGTCAGCAAAAATATATCAAAAAAAGGCAGCAGCCACATCATACGAACAACAACGATCCTCGATCTTCCTGCGACAAAGCAAGTTCAATCATGCAAAGAAAGGCTCTCTCAATGGAGCAGACCACAATATCATTGTCATGTAATTATTGTATCGTTGCAAGCATCGTTGAAAGAAGGTTTACTTATGTATGGTTATCTATAGGCACACTGACTAGTTTGGTGGAAGCATGCGTAAGACCTCAAGTGAAAGGGCGAAAAGAGTCTGGCGAAGGAGTTGGACTTCATGTAAGACCCTGAGGGCGAAAAGAGTCTGGCGAAGGAGTTGGACTTCATGTAAGACCCAGAGGCGAAAAACAAGTCTGGCGAGGGAGTTGGACTTCAATCAATGATACAGCAACTACAGAGAGTTTGGTCACGTACGTATATCAATGCATTACATTTAAGCGATGTCTAACTTTGTTTGGTGATTTTATTAGCAAAAAACACATTTCAAAAGCAAAAACAAGAAGAGCTTTGGGCAGGAAGACGAGGTGCCACATTGAATAGCATAGATACTATATGCAATAGAAATCAAATCTATCATTAGCTGAGCGTGCAATAAACATAATCAACAAAGGACAATTGCAGTGGGTAATGTTAATCGAGGATCTCGTTTGAAACGCATAAGGATCATGCATTGGCAGAGACTCGCTTCACTCTTACTTTTGGTACCAAATGAACAAACGTCGTCGTGATCCAAGTCCTTCACCAAGATCGACTATTCGCTTCATGCTGCAGCAATGGGAAGTGTCACCTTTCCAACCTTGCCCAATCACCGTGGCTACGATGGATGAGGCGATAAGGATATACTCCATGGACACTTTCTCCATAGCAACCAAGTAAGCTCTGTTGCCATGTGGATCAAGTTGTTGTTGTTGTCAGGGGGTGCTCATCATGCAAAGGCTGCATCAAGTTGACAGGCAAGCATTTGGGCTTGTAATTCACGTGATCTCATACCGCACACAATCCTCAGTCAATCTATAGACTTAACATAGGAGCAATAGTAGTAGTGAATCAATAAAGCTCATGTTGCAATGATCTCAACAGCTCAAGAAACCATGGGTGACCCCTGCCACGACCACCCAACATGGACGGATTATGTATACAAGCACCCATCCATGATAGATGCGCGCAATGATCCTCGCCATTTATGCAGCAGCCTGCACGTGCCACTTCACTCAGCTCCCACTTCTTCCCTCTTCCTCCCAATTCTCAACTGTTGCCCCATTCAAGTGCATACAACTACCTCCTGCGAACGATTGTCCTCCTTCAGCTCATCATGTCAATCCTACAACTCTCTTGATCCGATTGTCTTTGACTCAATGACAGGTCCATGGCGTGTACACAACCTTCTTGTCATTCTATTACAACACACGCTTCTCTGCCACAACCAATCGTAACAGCGTCCATTGCAGCAACTGCGATCAGCGTGATCTTTAACAGCCTTGTCATTCTATACAACACACGCTCTCTTGTAGTACAATCCTCTGCCACAACCAAACGCGACACCAGCTGCTATTAGGAAGGTCAAGACTCGATTGTCTCAAGTTACTTGCAGCATCCTGCAGCCATTTTCCAAGTGGTCAGCAGATAGAAGCAGCTTTATTTACGTGTAGCAACAAGTTTTAATACATACGATGTGTATCCGGATATTGTTTGGTACATTGGCATGAAAGGGAGCTTCATCTGGTTAAGCAGCGAGGGAAATGGCCAAGTATGAGATGGAAAAGGAAGCATACCAGCAGGGATCACATGACTCTTTTCACCAACCTGTTGGTTATGATGGATGGGTGCAATCAAGTGCAGTGATGGGAAACCTTGGAATGTTTCGTTGGCTACTTGTCGCGTCGTCAGCAGGAAGGATGGATCATGTCACATGGAAACGGCCGAGGATGATGTGATAGATGGATGGGATGGAATTGACGAAAGGTGTTTTACAGCCATGGATGAATTGGATTACTTGAGTCAATGCAAACATAAGTAGGGTGGACGACCCATGACCTTGACATTACCCATATCGAACCTGAAAATTGCACACAGGGTATGTGCAGACGCCCTTGTCAATTTCGTTCTCATAAAGACTCCATGCTTCATTATGAAAAGAGGTTGCAATGTGGGTGAGATGGTTCATGAAATGATGTGTTTTGTGTTTCAGCGTTACTCAATCAAATTGCCTCGGATCAAAGCAATTGAAGGATGGAAATGACAAGCTGAAGCAGGAGAATCGTTCACATGTGGTGGATTGGGCAATAGTTGAAAATGGGAGGAGAAGGCTATTAGCCGGGTATTAAGGTATGCTGCCCATGTGTGAGCAATTATGCAGAGAGATGGATTGCAAAACAATGAAATAGCTTATGACGCCACTTGCAATGATATGAGTTTACAAAGACAATCAATGTTCACTGTCGGCAATAGAATGTTGTATACACAAAAGCCATGGCAACCCACGTGATTGCCATGACAACATGGGGGCCAAGATCCTCCGTAGAGATCAACATGGCTTAGATAACTCCTAAGATGAGGGTGGCAGCAATTAGTTGCTTTCATTAATCCCTTTAGGGCTACGAGATTTGTGTGTGAAAGTAAGGGGTGGGAGTAAGTAGTACCTTGGTGGATGCAGCACATGGCTTACAGGGTGGTCACACAACATATAACCCCATCTCGCGTACACTATGTGTAGACTACACGGTTCACCTTTTGGCTGTTTAGATCTGTTGCAGATCATATCTTTTGTGAAAATGCACGGGGCATGTGCCGAGGAAAAAGGTCTTTATCGCAATCGGTCGTCATCCGTGATGGTTTTTGCCATTTGTCCCGGTGACTTTTTGTGTGCAACCATCACCGTCTCGGTTTAAAGACCCATGACAAAAGCATGTAATGTGCATGTACACTCCATTAAACCTTGTCAAACAACGTCGAGTGAGATTCCCACTTTTGTGTATCATCCCGAACAACCAATCCTTCACCGGGACGATGGCATTGTTAAAGGAACAACAACAACATCGTACTACCATTTGTCATTTTGGATTCGGAACACATACACACAAACACACACACACACACAGCGGCTACGTACAATAGGATGAGCGAGAAAAGAAATTGCTTGCAGATTATGCAAACTCTATACCTCGGATGCCACCCGAGTACTACTACTACGCTTTTGACGCAATAATGGTACATTCATTCTCGGCGAATTTCTAAAGACAACAATAGAATTAGCGCGCCAGACTCGATTGAAATCACTGGTAATGGTAGTAGTAGTAGTAATAGTAGGTAGGTGGTGTTGTCACCACTTTACGACATTCTCCAGAAAACAGCAGGCATTTTGTTTCGGTTTAGACTTGGTCTCCTCCCGCTCCCCCAAAAAGTTTACGCTGCTCATCCGGACCAACATGAAATATTAGACAAGTGGATGACAAGTACATCACACCGTAGCATGCGTGTGTGTGTAAAAGTGTGTTTTGTGTATGGGGTCTTTTGTGCTTCCTTGTGTCATGTATGTGGCGCATGGATCGGATATATATATACAAATCGCGTGATCGACACACCCGAAAGCCGTCGTTGGTGTTCACCATTACCACCTCCCCCCATAATAGACCCTCCTTAAAAACACACACACACCTCGAGAAAAGACAATACAAGCGAAACGATATATCCATTTTTGGTCCTTGCTCATTTCTTTTTCGCCCACAACACGCATATTTGAGTATACACACTCAAGGCCCGAAGTTGTGTGTGTGTATGTCATCCAGGAGTTCTTACCAATACTCATTCTCGACCTACATTCATCCACTCGCACATTCACATTCACGGTCCTCGAAACGCGTACATAGCTTTATAGGGTGCATCATCGGGTCGAGGAAAGGTTAATGTCATCCCAAAGCTGCATGCATGCAATGTGCCACCCTAAATGTGAAGCACACTATGGAATACACATAGATGCGCAGTCTTGTTGTGGGGGTAGGTTTCTTTTTATCAAAGCAAAGGGGGATTGCAGGATCCGGGGCAATCGACACGATAGCTGTTGCTGCTTGACGTGTAATGTGGTGTGCGTGTGTGATGAAATGTAAATGTGCCACGCACCCCAACCTCAGTCAGAATTGCAGCACAATGTTGAAAACAAAAAGGAGCAATATCTTGAGCGTGTGTGTGTGTGTGTGTGTGCAAGATCATGTTTCTTTTTTCAATCCAATCACCCCCTAGTTGTTATAGCTTTTGCCCTGGATTACTTATGCACATGTATGTTCCATAACGTACCTCGAGGGAAAAAAAAGGATATTTTCGCGAGCTGTGTGTATGCTTTGTTTTGTCATTTGACGGAAGAGAAAAAGGGGCCAATGTGTGCCTTGGGGGTAGGTGAGGGGCAAAAGGAAAAAACAGGAGTGAGTACATTTACATGTGTGTGGAACTTGGGGGCAAAGAGTAGAAACGCGGGCATGTACACACACACAACTCTCTCATCTCTCACCCTTCCATATGCACTGGCCATCCCGCCAAAAAAGATTAATCTACCCACACATGTATACACCACCCGCCCACACACACACACACATAAACGCGACTCGCTTTGTTCCTCAAACACTTTTAAAAGGTAATCTCGGGATGTTATCGAGTGACATGATCCATAAATGAATAAGGGTCCATGATCCTCGGTATCGTGACCAGAACTCGAAGATTGGTCGAGAAATGATAGCAGCAGCTGTGGATAGGATTATGTATCGGACAACATGTAATATGCAGCAAGGGCAACTTGGGGGAGGGGGTTGATAGTGGGGTAATCTATACAGGGGAGAATGATGATGATGGTGGCCCTCTTCTATTAGTTACCGGGGAATGAACATGATCTTTAGAGATATCATCTTTTCTTTCTGTGTGTGCCTACATGGACCACTTTTCAACTTTGCTTGCATAACATGCCATACAAAATATTATGTATGGCATGCAGCATGGTGCCGAGCCAAGAATAAAAAAACTCTTTCTCTCTCGACGTAAACAAAAAGGGGCAACACCTCTCGCAAAAAGTCGAGGCAACGCCATCAACAAAAGAAGGGCATATACAAACAAACAAGTTTCGTGTAAAGAATCAATTAAGGCATATATGTCATGGGACATTTACAAGAGCACACAAGAAAAAGAGGGTAAAAAGCAATAACACGGGGTCCAGGGGTGATTTGATTTGCACTGCTGCTGATGCTGCTGCTGTGTGTATGCGTATATGTAATGTGAGAGAGGCAAGGTTGGAAAGAAAGAAAGGGGGTTGATACAGGGCGCGAGATGGGCATGTTTAACCCCTTTGTCTCCATCATTACTCACCCCCATCATCACCAACTCCCCGAGTAACAACAATGGAACCTCTTGTCTTTTGGATTACTCGGTGTAGATTGATGGTAGAATGGCAAGATGAGTAGAGATGATGCCATGATAAAACTTCTTTAAAAGACTCGAGTATCATTGCTTGGTCGATATCATTTTAAAAAAAGAGATCGACATGTTGTGAGTGAAAAGGTGGTTGGGCAGGTGGATGATAATAATGGATGATGATGAGCGCGTCACATTCTTGAACGAGCATAAATTAACATTTCTCGGCCGTTTACTATCGTCACTGCAAGCTGCACGACCCACCTTATTCCCCCCATTAGGTCGTTCCTCTGTGTTTTTTGTGGTTAGGGTAAAGTGAGTGAGCAAAAAGTGTGTGTGCCTCTCTCTCTCCTCGCTCTTGCTCCCCCCAAATGCATTCAAAAGTTATAAAAATGGATTTCTTCAGTGTCCTCTCTGGTCAAAAAGCCATCTCTTTTCCGTTTTCTTCTTTCTTCCTCCCTCTCTCTCTCTCTCTCTTTTAATCTCCACACTTGATCCGTGTGTGTAATTTGACATAAATGAACGCCACCATGATGTATACACCACCACCTTCCGAAGACATTGACATGGAACCACATACCGATCACCGATCGGATACTAGCAGCTATGCTTGTGAAGCTGACAACCCATCATTTCGTCCATACATTCTTCAAGCGGATGAAGTAAAGGGTGAAGAGTTTGACATTACTCGTGCGAAATACTCGACATCGCTTGATCCACGTGGCTACATTCCAGGTAAAACATCATCCCTCATCATCATCATCACTTTGATTTTCATTGTATTCACTTTTTTTATTAGTCTATGAATATACAGTGGGCAATCAACCTATTATGTGGGATCGTGAGACAGGCTTTGTACATTTCACTGGTATCTGGAAGTGTCTCGGCAACTCCAAGGCCGACATTGTTCGAGTGGTCGATTCGAATCCGGAATTGGGAGTGACCAAGATTCGTGGTGGGTTCCTCAAGATTCAAGGCACATGGTAAGAAAGAAAGAGGATTGAAAAGAGAGAGGAGCTATGTTGTTAACAAGGCGTTCTTTATAGGATGCCATTCGAATTTGCCAAGATTCTTTGTCTACGTACAGCGTATCGTATTCGTACAAAGCTGATCCCACTCTTTGGACCTGATTTTGTACGTCAGTGTTTGCCACCATCACATGAAGACTATGGGTGTCTCTTGCTTGATCCTCGTAGTGCACCACCATCACGTTCAGCGTCTCATCGTCGATCCACAACAGCCCATCATGCTACTGTATCCTCTTCTAACTCTGCACGTCGAGTACCACGATCCGAACCTTATCAACGTCGTCCAAGTTGTACCTCACGTCCACCACGTCGATCCTCTCGTACTGTGAGGTCCGCTTCTACAAGTAGCAGTGTTAGCAGCACATCAAGCAGCAGCACAACAACCATGTCCGTAGCTCGACTCTTGAATGATGACATGTTGATGATGGGACCTCAACCCACACCTTCATCCTCTTCATCAACAACCTCATCACATCGGGATTCAAGGTCGCCCACACCTGTGCCATCACCATCCTTTACGCATCTTGAAGCACATAAGGGATACATGCACCACGCGTACCACCACCTTCCCGGTCCACGTTTACCGCCGATCCGTGCAGCCACAACAACAACATCAACAACCTATCAACACTTGTTGCCTGTCTTACGCCCACTCGGTGATATCACTGTAGCACCACCCTCACCTTCCGAACTCGCTGTACAAGTATCTTCATCTCTTCCCATGGGTGATGATCTCAATGATACTATTCGCACCGCATTGCTATTACAACGTCTTTCAGCCGATACCGGTGAACGCCCTTTTTCTACTTATGAACCTTGTGTTTTACCCAAACGTGTCACCGTCAACGATCAAGTTTATACTGTCTCCTGGGAACCGTAATCATGCAGTCAACAATGTAACCTTTCCTTACCCCCTTCTTTTATATCTCCCTAATTAGTAAAACGCCTCTCTCTCTCTCTCTCCCTATTACCATCACACACACACACACATACACGCACAACAAACGCATCTCGGTCTTTGCAACGCTATTCTCGGTGAAGTAAGAAAAAAGCATGGCTATGCACCACCTTAGGACCAAGACCAAGAAAAAAAGCAACACCATCTCATCACTACTAGAGGAGGGATTTCTGTATATTATATATCACACTTCTTTGTATAGTTGTTTGCGACAAATGTAAATAGTAAAAGATAAAAAATTAGTAACCTATTTGCTATGATGGATGTTTCGGATATGACACGCCGAGGACAGCTGCAAAGATTGCATGATGTGTGTGGCGAAACAAACAAAGTTTTTAGGGGTTGTCATGTTGTGATACACGACACATTATCGCTATTCGCACTTGACGCTTCGGCCAAGTCCTTCCGGGAATCTGGTTTAAACCAACAACCTCATTCTGCTGCTGCTGCTGCAGGGGGAGGGGAGCAAAAAGATCTTTCCGGTAACCTGACATATCAGGGGCGTGTGTGTCTTTTATCATTTTCTTTGTGTGTGTATGTGTATAAAAAGGATAATATCGCTTTTGTTACTTTTGAACAAGGACATGCATCATCGTTACAAGTAAAAGCATATAAAGCAGTGTTTCTATTCCCTACTTTTCCCGAAGGGCACAATTCATCTCTTTAAATCGAAAAGACCACAGGATAGAAGAAGGGTTATGGTATAAAGAAAAACATGAAATTTTTTCATGGCTCCACGCCTTTTATCTTTTTTGAATAATAAAGCTCCGCAAGGACCGCTGTTCGAAACTTGGGGCCATCATCATCAGTAGCACCACGCTTCTCTTTTCTTTACCTTTCTTTTGTGTATGTCTATGTATGAGATTCATTGTTAATTATGGGCCAACATGTAAGCACGCCCAACGATACCCCTCCTTTTGCATATACAGCAGACGATATCACCTATGACCATCATCTTGATTCTTCAAACAACGCAGTCCTTCTTGAACACCCGGACTTTTATCGCTTGGAAGACCGCCATTTGGAGCGCGATTTGAGCTATATCGATACCCAACATTATGCAGCTCATCCTCCTTCTTCGAATGACTGGACTCAAGTAACCGTATCCCAAATGCCTCAAGGCAAAGTGGCTTCATCAAGTATGGATTTATCAGGCCGATCGCTTATCAAAATCGGGCCAAGTATTGGCAATCTCAGGCACCTCGTGAAACTCGACATGTAAGATATGCAACAACCATGGACATTAGGAGGTTTTTGTTTTTTTTTTCTCACACCTCAAAGATCCTATAATCAGATTACCACGTTACCTGATGAATTTGGATTACTTGTCCAATTACGTTTGTTCAATGCCTCCCATAACAAGTTGCAACGTTTACCGGATACGATAGGACAATTGGAACGGCTCAAGGCATTGAATGTGAGCCATAATGCATTGACGGCCTTACCCGAAACCATGCCTCGATCATTGGTGGTATTGATTGCGCACCATAATGCATTGACCATGGTCCCTGCTCAATTGTCACATACTCGGCTTGTATCACTTCACCTGGATAACAATCCTCAGCTAGTATCCATTCCTGTGCAAGTGGTGGAAATGCCATCAATACGCAAATTAGTAGCACAGGCGTGTGGATTCCCTACCGTAGCTGAATATCCTCTTGTCCATGGTCCTCTCTCACTCAAAGAAATATGTGCACGTCGTTGCTTGTTGCTTCAACGACAACAACAACAAGGGTATCGTCTACCACGACCTTTGGTACGCTATCTTGCCAGTGCCAAAACATGTGCAACATGCAAGGGACCCTACTTTGATCAATGCGTAACACGAGGAAGAATGATTGAGCGTTCAGGTAGCAATATTCTTGTCGAGTATCGTCTTTGTTCACCGCATTGGAATACCGAAGAGGAACGTCTCTTGGATCTCTTTACACAAAAGGATGACATGATAGTAGAACCAACCAAGGTGGATGCATTGGCAGCAGAATGGATGCGTATTTACAAGCAAGAATATTCGTCACCGCCACCACCACCAAAAAGTCATATGAAGAAGGATGATGGAGATGATGAATACTATTATTATTGTCGTCTCGTACCAAGTCGTCATAATTCGATCCAGGAACAACAGCAACAACCATCATCATCATCCATGACCGTAGATACCATGATTGAGAATGAACAATTACCACGTCTCCTCAAGGTCACCACCACCACCACAACGTATAGTGATGGCAAGATACCATCCCCTGATGTTGTTGGTACTTCATCCTCATCATCATCATCAGCTGCAGCCGCTGGTTTGACTGCACCTAGATACTTGTAAGAATAAAAAAAGACCCGCCGTTGTCATGCAAAAAGGAAGCAGGTTGAGGGGGGGGGGAAGGAACATCATT